AGGGGAAAATAGATTTAGATGTAGAAAATAAAGATAAATATGGATTGGAAAATTAAGATCTACTGTAACAATGTAAATGGTTTAAATTCCCCAATAAAAGGAAAAGGATTTGGCATCACTTTAAAAAAGGTGGTTATGATTTGATTTTATTACAGGAAACACATATCACACAAAAACACACAGCACACTTAAAACAAAAACCACTTGGGAAGATGTTCTATGCATCAGGTCCAGAAAAAAATGATTTAGTGATATATGTTAAAGAAAAAAATACAGCAGAATTAGCTTTTAAGAACCAAGAAGGAAGACTAATGGGGATTAAATTAGAATTGGAAGATAAGATTATATTAATCTGTAACATATATGCTCCAAATGAAACAAAAGGAAAATTTGTGGATAAACTAAAAAGATACATAGAAGACCAAGAATACCATGACCTGATCATTATGGGAGACTTCAATGGAGTATTAGACCCAACCAAAGATAAATCGATAGCAAATATGAAAAAAAATCCAAGACCATTAAGACCTCTACCTAGGAAATTTATGAATCTAAAAGAAGACTTAGGATTATATGATGTCTGGAGACACCAACACGAAAAAGAAAAAGATTTTACCTTTTTCTCAAATAGACATAGGACCTGGTCCCGAATTGATATGATTTGGGGGACTAAAACAATTATGACAAATATAATCAAAACATCAATATTGCCAATGCCCCACTCTGACCACTATTACATATTATATTATGTAATAAACAGGACAAAAGAAGCTTCTTTAATTGGAGATTGAAGGATAATCTTCTAATAGACCTCAAATTACAGGAAAAAAAATAGATCCCTGTTATACTTCAACCTGAATACTGACACAGAAATTTCAATAAACACGATATGGGACGCAGGTAAGGCCTATATGCAAAGGCACTTTATAGAGCAAGGGGCAAGAATAAATAGTTAAAAAGAGAAAAATAGAACAAACTTGAAAAGGAAATAATAAAATGGGAAACACAGGCTAAAGAAAATCCGAAGAATAAAAAATAATCAACCAATTGGAACTATTAAGGAAACAAATGAGTATATTACAAACAGGAGAGATAGAAAAGAAACTTAAATTTGCAAAACAATACCATTTTGAGAATGCCAACAAGATAGGGAAATGGCTAATGAGAAAAACTGCTATAAAAAGACAAGCAAACACATAACAAAAATAGAATCTAAAGGAAAATGCTACTTTCAAACTAAATAAATCATTGATCAGTTCTTAAAATACTACAAAGAATCATACAAAGATGACAACATTCCAGGAGAAAAAATAATGCAGTATTTAGGAACACAAGACGTACCAAAAATAACGGAAGACCAAAGAGAATGATTGAACAAGAAAAGCTCACAAGAAGAAATAAAGAAAATTATACAGAATATGCCATCAGACAAAGCTCCAGGACCTAATGGATTTACACCAAAATATTATAAGACGTTTCAAGATATTTTAATACCACAACTACAAAAGGTACTGAACAGAATAATGGAAGAAAGAACAATACCAGAATCATGGAAGGCAGCAATAATCTCTTTAATACATAAAGAAAATTCAGCTAGTACACTGGTAAAAAATTATAGACCTATATCACTACTTAATGTGGACTACAAGATATTCACGGGTGTACTCGCCTCAAGACTAAAAGAATTATTAAGTAACAGAATAGATGAGGACGCCAACTAAAAAACAATATCAGAACAGTTCTAAATGTCATCGACTATTACAAAAAGAATAACCAGAAAGAAATAGCTTTAATGTTCCTAGATGCCGAAAAGGCGTTTGACAACGTTAACTGGAACTATGTCATCGCGGTCGTAAAAGAAATGGATATAGGATATTACTTCCTGAACGCAATAGAATCAATCTACACAGAACAAAAAGCAAAACTTACAGTAAATGGACAACAATCAACAGAAATTCCTATCTCAAAAGGTACTAGGCAAGGCTGCCCACTCTCCCCACTACTATTTATTCTGGTTCTCGAGACCCTATTATCCAACATAAGAAAGAATATTGAATTGAAAGGATTAAGAACCAAAAATCAAACTTTCAAAATACATGTGTTCGCAGATGATATAGTGTGCTTTATAGAAGACCTCAGGAACACTATAAACAAATGGATACATGAAATTGAAATATACGGAGAGGTAGCTGGATTGAAGATAAACAAGGATAAGACTCAAATTATTACTAAAAACATGGGAAAGGAAAAAAGAGATGAGCTTCAAGAGAGAACAGAAATCAAAGTAGTTTCAAAAGTAAAATATTTAGGAATAATAATTGCACCCAGCAACTCACACCTGATAAAGAACAATTATGAAAAAAGTGGATAGAAATTAAAAATAAAGAAATTGGAACATCTAAACCTCTCCCTTCTGGGAAGAGTGGCAATCATTAAAATGAATGTCTTGCCGGACGTCTTATTCATCTTTCAGTCGCTCCCAATCTTAAGATCAAGCATAATGCTTCAGAGAGGGCAAAAAGAGATAATCAAATTTATATGGAGAGGGGAAAAACACAGGATAAGTGCTAAAAAACTAATTGACGATAAAAAAAAGAGGAGGACTTGCCCTACCAGAATTACAACTGTATTATGAAGCAGCAGCCTTAAGTTGGATAAGAGATTGGGGAATGTTGGAAAAAAAGAAAATCCTTGCTCTGGAAGGCTTTGATATTGTTCAGGGTTGGCATGCTTATCTCTGGAGAGGGAAGGGGAAAAAAAGAAAAAAAAACTTCAGAAACCACCCAATACGAGCAGCACTCATATAGACATGGAACAAGTATAAAGACAGATTTTACCAAAAGACACTAATGTGGTTCTCCCCCAATGAGGCCTATCATAAAAGAGAACTACCCAGAGAGAAATGGCTGACCTACAAACAAATAGTCAAGATCAAAAACCAAGAAGTAACACTTAAAACACAAGAAGAACTTACATCAATAGACCCCTCCATCTCATGGTTTCAGTACCATCAAATAAAAGAAAATTAATTAAAAAATATACAACCTATTATTAGTGTGGATCAAGGAGACTGAACAAATAAAAGACAACATGATAAACTGGGCGAAAGATATTGGCCGATCTATACCTCTAATGAATTGGGAAGAGATTTGGCAAAAAAAAAAAATCAAATATACCTATGCAACAGACCTCAAGGAGAGTTGGTATAAGATCTTCTTTAGATGGTATCTAACACCAGAAATTTTGGCAAAAATTAACAAGGGCAAGATGAAAGACCTATGCTGGAAATGCGAAAAAGAAAAAGGCAACTTCGTTCACATGTGGTGGGGCTGCAGAAAAGTAAAAAATTATTGGCTACAAATACATAAAAAATGGAAAAGATTCTAAACATAAAATTTAACCCAAAGCCGGAGACACTACTGTTGGGAATATTAGATTCTAAAATAGAAAAAAAAACAAAGATAAAATATTTTCCTATCTAATAGCAGCCTCTAGGATGACCTTAGCAAACGTATGGAAAACAAAGGAAATCCCCACAATAGAGCAGTGGATAGTGAAAATAATGGATATAATTAGCTTGGATATACTGACACAAAGAATTTCACATAGCTATACAAAACCTCAAAAAACTAACTGGAAAGCAGTTTTAGATTTTGTAAAGGAAGAGAACAAAAATATATATATTATGGACTTGTAATTGAAACCCAAGGAAAATATAATTAAGAAGACAACAACAAAAACAAGCGAAGACAAAAATATGTTTGTGTGAGTAAAATAATCACCAATTCTTTCTTACTTGTTTCTAAATTCAGCTTCGTAGTGTCCATTAATAATGCTAACCTAGCATCCGGCGTAATATTTGATCTATAATGTTGTTTATTTCGATAAATATGTCCTTCCAAAAGCTTTTCACTTGGGGGCATTCCCACCATAAATGAAAATATGTCCCTTTGTGTTTGCCACATCTCCAGCAGAGGTTTCCAAGGAGAGTGCATGTGTGGCATGGTGTGCCAGCAGACACCGAAAAATGTATATGCCTGCCAGTGCCTACAGCCAAGCACCTCTTATTCAAGAGTAGAAACAGCAGGTGCCTGGTAAGAAGAATGGAAGCACACATCAGGAGGGGACTAAGTGGGTGTAGACACACCCCCTCCCATAATTGACTGATTTTCTGGGCCCCTAACCAAAAACAATTCTCTCGATTTTAAACAGATTGGAGTCCCCAACGTAAGCCAGGACGCGAAACTGTGCAATGATTGATTACCCTGAAAGAACATGTCTAAATACTAGTAGCTAGCATGGCCAGTGATAAGGAAAGATGGGAGCTGTAGTCCAACAACATTTAGCTAATAAACAATTTGACAGACTGTAACAACCAATATGAGGCAGTCCAGCCCTTGATATCCATAAGAGAGGTTCTTCTCTCAATCTCATCACAATCACAGGTATAACTGGTGGAAAGAGGGACTGCACAGTAGCTTTGGCTTTGAAGCTTCCTTCCTCTCCATTGGCAAATGAAGACTTTCTTATTTGTATTTTTAAAACTGAAAGCTTTAAACAATTTTTAATAACTGTTATACATAACAATGGTAATGTATAATTTTAGAGATCTTTTTGAAGTGTATGTGTTTAATATGATTAATCATTTAATTTGATTTCACTGTTTACTTTTTGTATCTTTTTTATGTGTAAGCCTTCTTGTGTTCCAGTCTCCAGGGGAAAGTGGATATAAATAAAATTAATAACATCAATTACATAAAACCATGTTTTCCATCCCAGCACAGTAGCTTCTCATCAGCAAAGTAAACTTAACATACAAAAAAGCTTCAATGAGAAATTGGTTTACTGACAATGAAATGCTTAAGAGCCAAATCACTCAAATGTCATATTTTCCCCTTGATCTTATTGACTACCAATGTGCTACCATTGCACAAAGGTCAAAAGCAAGCTACAATTACATTGCATCACATTTTCCTCTGCCTCCCATTGGAAATCCCTATTTGCTCTGCTTAATAGTTAACGATGCATACTGAGTACAAACCTGGTACGTAAACTACAGAAGAGAGAGGGTTGTAGCCTATTTGTACCATAAGATTCCTCTAAAGATATGTAAGTATATTATTTTCCCCCTTTTGCTCTGCAAGCATATATGTTTCTGTTGGGTACCTTAAAGTCCACTCCAGTTTTTGGTAATCTTTTAATATGATTTTCATTTTGAGATTTATTTGGAAGCTGTTCCTCTAAATCAGGAGTTGTCAAACTTTTTAAGCAGAGGGATGGTTTATGGTCCCTTATATTGTTGGGGGCCAGACTATAGTTTTAAAAAAATGAACCAATTCCTATGCACACTGCACATATCTTGTTTGTAGTGCAAAAAAATAAAAGAAAAATACAATATTTAAAATGAAAAACAGTTTAAACCCTCATAAACATTTTAGTGGAAAGTGTGTGCCTGCTTTTGGTCGATGAGATCGTCAAATTGATTAGGATTGTTGTTGTTGTGTGCCTCCAAGTTGTTTCAGAATTAGAGAGACCTTAAGTCTAAAGTTTAGGGTGGGGGCAGTTAAATTACTTTGGAGGGCCACATCCGGCCCGTGGGACTTAGTTTGGGGTCCCCTGCTCTTAATATGGCCCATGGTACTTACTATTCCTTTCCAAGTACTACCCAGGCTTGACTATGCCTGGCTTTCAAGATCAGATGAAAGCTGACACCTATAACATATGTAGGCAGTACATTACTTTAGTGTAAGGGCCCTTCCACATAGCCCTATATTCCAGAATATCAAGGCAGAAAATCCCACATTATCTGCTTTGAAGTGGAATATATGGCAGTGTGGATTCAGATAACTCAGGGCCATTCCACACAGCCCTGTATCTCAGGATATCAAAGCAGAAAATCCCACAATATCTGCTTGGAACTGGGTTATCTGAGTACCTTGAAATTCTGGGATATGGTACTGTGTAGAAGGGCCCCCAGTTCAAAGTAGATATTGTGGGATTTTCCGCCTTGATTTTCTGGGATATAGGGTTGTGTGAAAGGGTCCTAAATCTTATTGCTAGCTCCTTGATAAAGTAGACAAATTCAATCAAAAGACTTTATGTTAATTCATCATTCAACAACAGATTTAATGGATCTATTGTGATTCACATTGTCCAGCAGAATTCATGTCAATGTGTATCTAGTCACAGTTAAATGAGACTTAGTTCAATGTATGTGGGTATAGGACTGCAGCTACTGTTATAGCAGTTGTTATTTGCCATGAAATTATTTTTGACTTATGGTGACTTTATGAATGGGAAACTTCCAAGAACCTTCATCAACAGCCTTGCTCAGATCTTGGAAACTCAAGGGTTTGACTTTATTTATTGAGTCAAGCCATCTGTAAAGTGGTGTTCTTCTTTTCCTACTGGGTTATGCTTTCCAAGCAGTCATGTTGTCTTGTGAAATGCCGAAAGCATGAGAGCCTGAGTTGAGTCATTTTGGCTTCTAGAGAGAGCTGAGATGTGATTGCTCTTAGACTTATTTATTTGTGTTTTTGGCAGCCCATGAAAACCATAGAGCTTTCCTCCAGTACCACATTTTAGAATTAATAGATTTTTCCATATAATTTTTATTGCAAATATATGAGGAGTGGAGAAGGGTACAAGAGTGGTTATAGTACAGTGGCATTTTTAACCTATTACATCTTCATCTTCTTCCATTGTTATCTAATACAAAAAAAGAGCATTTATTTTCTTATCTATAATAGATAGAAAACCGGGTGTACAGTGTTTTGAAACAAAGGAGATAGAAAAGTTGAGAAATGGAAAACAGAAATCCCCAACCAGCACTTTCTATCCTGCCTCTGCTGTCTTCTTCATAATCAAAATAATCTGTTCTTTTTTTTCATAAAAAATTGTATCTTTGGTAGTTTAACTTTCAAAGTTCCCTTGAATATAATTGGGGATCCTGAGAATTAACTGCAGGTTTTCATTGGTTTTCTAACTGAGCTTCAATACACCCTATAGGCTTTATGCATTTTTTAAAAAAGAACACAGAGTTAGGAATTTTAAAGACAACACTGAAGCTTCTCAAAGGGCGATTATTAAGCTTCCCATCAAAACTAATATGAAATAGTCTTGTTGTTGGAAGGTGGCTCCAAAATAATATCAAAATCATATTTTTGAAGAAAGTTTTGGTTAGAATATGTTTAAATATGTTTAAATGCCAAAGAATGCGTGAGTGCTTTAAGATCCAGAAAAACATTCTTATTTTGTGAGTTATGTAAACTGATATTAAAATACTGAGAAACACAATTTGGATACAGTTTTATAGTCAATTTGTGATTTAATGTGTCTAACTTCTAAAATTCTTTCTATGGCTCACAGAAAATGTAAATAATTTATGTTATATAAATGTATAGATCTAGGGCAGAATCCTCCATTATTGCAAAATTCCTATGTATTTCTGGATTGATCTTCTAATGTCTTCTATGGGGACTGTTAGCAGAAGAATTGCATATCCCAATGAAGTCCATCATCAACCTCCCCTTGTTACTGACTATTCTTCAAGTCTGTTGTCATCATCTACCAGGACATGATGGTTTCCAAGATGATCATGGAGAAAACAATCCACATGAGCATCAGTACAGTCTTTCAAGAGAAGAGCAGGGAGAGAAATCTCCAGACTATCATAAGATAACTCCCAGTAATACTGACTTTGCATTCCGGTTCTACAGAAACATTGCTTCAGATCCAGATGGCAACAACATTTTTTTCTCTCCTCTCAGCATCTCCACCGCTTTTGCTTTGTTGGCATTAGGTGCCAAATCTGAAACCCATGACGAGATTTATAAAGGACTTTCTTTTGATCTGCTGGAAATTAAGGAGAAGGAGATCCATGAAGGGTTCCACCAGCTCCTTCATGTGCTTAACCAACCAAATAACAAAGCACAGGTGAATTTAGGGAATGGTTTATTCATAGAACCATCACTGAAATTCCTGCCAGCTTTTTTGGAGGATGCCAAAAACGTGTATGGTGCTGACGGTTTTTCTACCAACTTCAGCAGTCCCAGAGTGGCTAAAAAGCAAATTAATTATTATGTACAGAACAAAACAGATGGGAAAATAGCCTGTGCACTTGATGAACTGGACGCAAGCACTGTCATGGTTCTTGTAAATTACATATTCTTCAAAGGTAAGTGAACGGTAAAGATGTTCTTTTGTTCAGAGTTTTAGACAGTATGTCATCAGACTTGGCTGCCCAGGAATCTGCTCCTCCTCAACATTACCCTTTTGAACTGGAATATATGGCAGTGTGGACTCAGATAACTCAGGACCCTTCCACACAGCCCTGTATCCCATAATATCAAGGCAGAAAATCCTACAATATGTGCTTTGAACTGGGTTAGCTGAGTCCACACTGAAATAATGTGGGATTTTCTGCCTTGATATTCCAGGATATAGGGCTGTGTGGAAGGGCCCTTAGTTACACATTCATATCTAAGGAGGGGAAATAGTATCTTATCCTGTATTTTTTCAGCTTTTCTTTCTTTGGGGTTTTGTAAAATTTAGTTTGGCACAAAATAATAGACAAAGTAAGATTTTGTACAAAATACCAGATTTTTAAAAAAATAACAAGCAAAATAAAAGCACCTCTGCCACCCTTGATTCATTCATACACACACGCACACACACACACACACACACACAATGTGGCCTTGCCCAGAATACATGCTCAGTAACCTATGGTGGTTCAGATGAGGCTAGACCAGGCATGGGCAAACTTTTTAATCTTTGCTGCATTGCAGGCCCAGCTGGGAGGGCAGGGCCAGGTGGAGGGGGGGCCTAGTACACATTGGGTAGGGTGGGGCTGGAAGGGGGAGGGTCCAGGAGATGGTGTGGCCAGGAAGGTGCAGGGCAGGGCCTGGGTCCTCCCAGAATAAGGACAGGGCTACTCGCCCTATCCTTATGTCAGGAGGAAGGTGGAACACATGGAGACTGCCCCAGTCCTCCATCCTGATCCCCCTCCCCATCCTCCTCCCCAGATCCTCAGCCTGTCCTCTTAGGTGTTATGCAAGGAGGAGGGCGAGACAGGTGGCAGTTGAGAGTGCTCCAGAGGGCTCTCAGACACTGTGTGCCTTCCTCAAGATGTCCTCCCAGTATAAAGATGGGGCTGCTTGCAGCATCCTTATAATGGGAGGAAGTTGAGACAAATTATGGCTGAAAATGTTTCAGAGGGCTTTCAGCTGCTATGTCCCTTCCTCCTCCGTCATCTTGGCATAAGGATGCGATGGGCCACTGTGTCCTTCTGCCAAGAGGACAGGAAAAATGAGGAGGGTCTGAGGTAAGCATCCAGGGTGCTGCATCCAGCCCCCAGGCCTAAGTTTGCCCTTGCCTGGGATAGACGTGTGGAATCGATGGGGTTTATCTTTTTCTTGACTCCAGTTGACTCACTGGACATACTTTAGTTGGAATAAAATGATAAAATTCTGGCCCACATTGTTGTAATAAATGTATTTTCCCCAGTAACCAAACTTTTTTTGTGAAAATGTAACCTTTACAAGATTTTTGGAAATAACTCCTGAGATACAAAAATATATTTTAAAATTACCCCTCCCACTCCCCAAAACTTTTAATTTCACTCAATGGGGGAAAAAATCTGGAGTGTAGGGGAGGAGTTGTTCTCAAATATATAAATTTACTAACTTTCATAAAGGTGGAATCCAGAACATTTTATTGGGAATGAACATGGCTATATATGATAAACATATAACTATTGGGTACATTTTGGGTATTAAACATTCACATTGTTCTGATATCTAATCTTTTTCTTCCAAGCTTACTGGGAAAACCCTTTTGATACTCACTTTATCAGGGAAAGAGACTTCTTTGTGGATGCAAATACTACTGTGAAAGTCAACATGATGCATCGAAAAGGCTACTACAAATTTATCTATGATGGAGATCTTTTTTCCTGGGTAGTGGAACTTCCTTACAAAGGAGATGCTACAGCATTCTTCATTCTGCCAGATGAGGGTAAACTTGAGCATGTGGAAAGTGCTTTGGCAAAAGAACATCTGAGCAAATGGACACAATCCTTTCGGCATGAGTAAGCCTCTTCTGTGTGCTCTTTTCTTTTAAACTGAATTGAATACATTTGTTTTAAAATAGGCACAAACACATACACGGAGATTCAACGGGAATAATTTGGGTTGGTGTTGATAAATCCAAAACAATACCCTCACCCCCTGTTTTTTTTTAACTGTTGCTTTCCAATTAATCCCAAACTTTCAGAAAAATATTTAGGGTGTTGAGGGCTAGATTTGTACAGATTGAATATTTCTTATCCAAAATTTCAGGGTGGTTGCTGTTTTTGAGATTTCTAAACATAACATTCCTTTATGTTTCATGTACACCTTATACACACGAGATAATTGTATAGACAATATTTTAAATAGTTTTGTGTGTGAAATTAAGTGTGTGTGTACATCTATCTACCTATCCGGAAATAAAGATGTCATTCTCTCAGCCGCCCATGTGAATGATTTTGGAGTACTTCCTATTTCTGAATTCCATATTTTGGATTTATTCATTCATTTATTTACTGCATTTATATATAACTTCCCCTGAGGGGACTCAAAGCAGTTTCCAACATAATAGAAGCAGAATTCAATGCCATACATATGTGTAGAAACCAAAATATAATTTCTATATACTATAAGTTAAGAACCTTAACTATATTACACATATCAGCATAAAAGAACATATACATTAAAATCACATCATTATTGAAAATCACACAATCCAGGAGCATAAATCAGGAGCCATTCCAATTGTCATCTGTAATTGTTCATTACTGCACTGAGATATCAATTGTTGCCCTATCACTGTCCAACTCCAGTTAGGTAAAAAAAATAGACAAACAGACCAACATTTTAAGTTAAAATATAGTTATAACAAACAAGGCTCTGGGCACAGATGCACTGACACTATAATGCGGCTATCAACCGGTTTGGCAGAAATTAGTTTTGCTGTACAAGTGATTAGATTGCCATGCCAAGAACTGGTTCAAGGCCTGGATGATGATGACACTGAATTTGGAATATCACTTCAAACCACTCTGCATTGTATTTTTTTTCTTGCTTTGCAGAGATGCACATAGGCATACAGGGGGCAAAAGGGGGAAAGTGACATTTAGGAGCAGAGATAATTAATTACACCTCTTAGAGGGTCCATTAGCCCTCTGGTGTCCAGTCATATCCTTGGAGTGTTCTTTGACAGTTCCTCCATTTTTTAGTCTATAATATGCTGCCATAGAGCAGGTGTCAAAGCCTGAAGTCTGGAAGCAGCAACCAAAAGACCCCTGTCCCATCTTCCCACCAAATAAGGAAGCAGTAAAACAGAATAAAGGACTGCTCTAATGGGCTAACCACAGAAAAAGTGGTCACAGTGCAGCATTTTCAGCATATAAAATAATATTTCTATGCAAGAATATTATTTTCTGGGCTGTATTTTCTGGGAAAATGCTGTTTCTTATGCAGAGAATGCTGTTTTCTGAAAACACACACACATTGTGAAAAGTCTTTGGAAAATGTGTTGTTTTTAAAGACTTTCTCGTGGTGAGATGAAAATTGCTAAAATTATTTGTTGCTTCCTTTGAAAAGAAACCCAGTAAAGAATTATGTCCATAATGATTAAATATTTAGGCTGTTTTTGCTTATTGTTGACTAGGAATATACGTCTAATCATCCCCAAATTTTCAATTTCTGCTACTTACGATGTCAAGGACTTGTTGGAAAAAATGGGCATAACTGCTGTGTTTAATGATACTGCTGATCTGTCTGGAATTACTGGAGAACAGAATCTGAAGGTTTCAAAGGTAAGAATGGGAGTGGGGCTATTGCTTAATATTTTCATGCAGTTTCAGTTTAAATAAGTATTTATTGCTTTGTTCCAAGCATTGTTTGTGTTCACTGTCTGGTTTCACTTTACTTCCACATTGTGTATACCTGGGAACCTGGGTTTTAAAAAAACAAATAAAGATGGAGAACATTCTAAATAACAGTTGGATCTTTCATTTCCAAAACAAGAGGAATTAATCATTGTTTGTTTTTTCATCCTGACTGTCCTGGATGCAGTTTCAGGTGCCAATTGAAATCAATACAGCAAACCTTGTAGAACTTAATTTGAATGCCTACAACATCTTGCTTCCATATTTCCTCTTATAGACATTATCACACAGACTTTCTACCCAATATCCAATATACTTTAAGCTATGACAACAGTCATGTTGGATCAATTGAAACATTTGCATAAGACGTAGCCTTGGGCTCCCTGTTATATGATTGTCAATCAAATCTCCCCCCCCCCCACCACCACCAAATTAATAAAGAAGAAGCAAAATATGATTATGTGTATACTTGGGTAATGATTAGATGCACTAGTGACTACACTTACACAATCTATTAAAAAGTACAATTCTTAGTACATCTATTTTTATGCTTGTACAATGCCTCATCATTCTCTTTGCCATTGTCCATCAAAACTCCCTGCTGAAGACACCAAGAGATTTCAAAAGCTTGTACATTACCGCCTAAATCCTATTGTTAGCCTATATTTAGATTTACCATTCAAAAATTGATTCAGTTAGTCTCCTCTAGTTGGGGTTAACCAACAAAATACCAGAATTTTGCATTTTTGATCTTGGCCAATACATACATTGGGCTAAATCAACTGCTACTCCCAATCAGAACAGTCCCATTGAATTAATGGGATTTACATAAGCATTGTCTGTTCTAAACCCCTGATTCAACTGACTGAATTTAGTTGAAATCAAGAAATTGGATTAAGGGCATATGTGGGCTATCCAGATATAGTTGGACCACAGCTGCTAGGATTTCTCACAATTGGCCATCTACATCTTGGAGGCCACACTTTACTCAATCTTCTTTTGGGGCTGTTAGTGAATCTATTTGGGGATTAGGGTTTTGTGTGCTGGTTAGATCATTTACATTTACCTTAACCCCTGGAGAGAGAAAAAATCACCAGCCCTGGACATGGAGTCCACCAACTACCACTATATACGAACAGCAATTATTACAAAGCTTTGGCAGTTTCATCTGTGAAATATGGACAGATATGACCTGTAGACAGTAAAAATATTCTTTCCTTACAGGTTATTCATAAGGCTGTGTTGGATGTTAATGAGAGTGGCACAGAGGCAGCAGCTGTCACCACTATAGAGTTTATGCTCCGTTCTGCTCAGCTTCAACCTCCGCTTACCATCAGTTACAACAAACCGTTCCTGGTGATAATTGTTCATCAATCAACAGAGAGTATCCTCTTCATTGGGAAGATTCTGGACCCTACCAAAAAATAAATAGCAAAAGAAAGTTAAACCTTATTCAGGTGACTTTAAAATTGCTCACTTTTTTTAGCAGCTAGCTCAGGCATGGGCAACCTTCGGCCCTCCAGGTGTTTGGACTTCAACTCCCACAATTCCTAACAGCCGGTAACTAGCTGCTACCACTCTGAACCTACTGTCGTCCCTTCCAACCTCTTATGTGATTATTCTCAAATGCATCATTAAACTGGTTTACCATCCAAGACCTATTGGAAGTGGCAGAACATTTTGGGAATGTCAGGGGAATATTTTAAATTTCAAAATCTTGATAAGGGATACCCAACCTTCACTAACATTTCTACCATCAGAGATAAATGCTCAAGTCGCTGTTAGCCCTTGATGATATCTTGATGATATTCTGTTTCAAGTCCTGAAACCATCTGATCAGTTTAGTATATATGTTTGTGGCCATTCCTCAGACTTAAGTTGTCTCTGTTAAAATTGTTAGAAGATTTCCAGACAGCTAACTCCTACACCATATACATTGGATACTTTGAAGCTCGGGTCAGGGGGTGAGCGCCCGACCTTCAGCCCAGCTCACTGCCCACCTAACAGATCGAAAACAGCTGTGAATATACTCATATGTACCACTTAAGCAGGGAAGTATTTTAATGACACCATAAGGAAATGCCAGAAAATGCCAGCAATTCAATCAAACAGGAGGAAGTCTGTGAACAGGGCTCTTCGGCATGGAGGATGGAGCGACAGCATCCCCCCGTGGCCGAAATTGAGCACAGCATCAAAGATGCCAAAGATGGGAAAAGCCTATATACCTCTATCTGTACTGTTGTCTGTCCTGTCAGTGTATATCGGCATTGAATGTTTACTGTATATGTGTTCTGTGATCCGCCCTGAGTCCCCTTCGGGGCGAGAAGGGTGGAATATAAATACTGTAAACAAACAAATAAATAAATAATACTTAATTAATGCTGTTTTGTAAACTGCCCTGAGTAGCCCTCGGGCTGAAAAGGGCGGTATAAAAATAGAGTAAATAAATAAATAAATAAAATTAACCATAATTAAGAACTCATCCCAGGTAGTTTTCAAAAACTGTATGTTTCTCTGTCAGATAAAACAGTAAAGCAAAATGTGTGCAAGGGGAACCGTGCTGGTGTTGAAATGGTGTGGAGGAACTGCTCTGCAGACTATCAAATCATGGGTCACATGTACTCCTCAAATTACCTTGAGCTCAGTGAGAATTGCAAAAACAATAAAGGAGAGGAATAAAATTTCTTTCTTCTTTTGGAAAGACAAAAAAAAGTTTGACATTTTAAATATCTCTATCCAGTGCAAAGTTCACATATGCAACATTGACAACACTCAGAAAAACTCAATGGCTTCCTTTGCTATTCACTTGAAACTAGTTAGCATTTCCTGCTTTTAGAGGAAGAGAGCAGGGATATCAACATCATTCCAAGACAACATGGAGATTATGTCTCTCTAACAACTTCAAACAAAACATGCTGTTAGGAGCCAAATTGGGTAGCTTTATCTTTGGTTGGAAAGAGTAATCTCTCAGAGAAATTACAGTTTTATATACACTTCTTTTCCTCGAACATGATGCTTATATGCGCTGAACAGACTGCGCTCTGACACCACGAGATGCAGAGGCAACCTTAAGAAATGGGGCCACAAAGTAGAGTCCATGACATGCGAGTGTGGAGAAGAGCAAACCACAGACCACCTATTACAATGCAGTCTGAGCCCTGCCACATGCACTCTTATAGCAACACCAGAGGCACTCCAAGTGGTCAATTACTGGTTGAATGGCATTTAATAGAATGCCAAGTTTCTAAACTTTGTGGGATTTCTTTAATACATTACAACTGTACTCTTGGCTCACTCCAGATATGATAAATAAATAAATAAATAACTATAAAATAGGAGAAACATGCTATCCAATATTTCGGCTCATCTTTGGCTTTGATAATGAGTACAACAGCTATTTCATTGTTCCCTAAATTCTTTGGAGATGCTCTTCATATCATACATATAAACCTGGGCCATTGGGCCTTCACAAGGATGTCCCTATTTTCATCTGTGAATGCTTGGAGGAAGAGCCCCACACTTTGAAATCATGAAACTGAAATCCCATACAAATGATTTCTTGCTTACATTGACTGTTGATGGCCTTGCAACAAAATGCGGGGATAGGTTACACATCCATTGCAACACATTGTGCCCTTCTGTCCCCTTTGATAACCTATATTTGTTTTGTTTAATGATTAATACTAAATATTTGGTGCTATATAAGGCTAACACAAAAACAACGAAGCACGGAGTAGCATAGACCACTGCGATACTATAAGATTCTTTTAGAGCATCTGTAAGTATTATCTACATTTTTCTTTACCTGTTTCAGTTTTTCTTGAATCCTCACCAAGTTTGTTCCATTCCCCCAACACACCTCCCTAATGATTTCTCTCACTCCTCTCATTATAGTAACTTAAAATGTCATCAGAATATTTAGAAATACAATTTAAGCAGCCAAAGAAAATGGGGGAAGGTAAAGTTATCGAGGGAATGTGAACATAACAAACAGAAGAATTCACATTATTAATTAGTTTTAGAGTCTCACCATCTGCAATGCTAGAAATTTGTGGACTGAAGAAAATATCCAAGTGTGGACAGTCTTCCTGCATTTTGCCTCCCTTGCATCTATACTTTTGGCTCCACACTTCATTGGGTTTCTTTCTACGTTTTTTTTTCTTTATTTTAGTAAAAAAAAAATCCTAGGCTCTTGTTTCTTTTGATTTGACATATAAGGAGGAAAACAGATTAGATTGCTCTCTTCCTCATGTCATCACTGTGCTCACACAGAGAGCAAGAGGTATGATAAGAGGGGCCCTTTGCTACATATGGAGGCTTTCCAGCCAGTTAGGATTCCCACTTATGTGCAGAGAGTGTCCACACATAGCATCAGCATGTTTTAAAGAACCACCAAATGGCTAGTTGCCTTTGTGGACCAATAATGATTTTTTAATAACTTCTTTGGGGGTTTTGAGGGGAAAGGGGCTCACCTGCACTGCAGAAAGCGTTTTATTTGGTGGTTGCAAGTTCATTCAGTTATTTCAACCAATTTTGCAGAAAAGTATCAAACATTAGCAAAGTTTGGCAAGCCCCATGATGTACTTTTATGATCAGCTATAAGTGTAGCAGTTACTCAAAGCTATGTAATAAACAGGAGTGAACTGTGGGGCTCAAATAGGGAGGAGAGGCAAGAATAATAAAATCATAGAACCATAGAGTTGGAAGAGACCACAAGGGCCATCCAGTTCAACTCCTTGCCATGCAGGAAAAGCACCATCAAAGTACCCCTGACAGATGGCCATTCACATGTACTGTTATCGCGCCAGGTGTCATCCATTCGACATCTGTGCAATTCATTTTTTCTGCCTAAGTGTAGTATCCTACATTTCTCCTTGCTGAAATTCATTTTGTTAGCTTTGGCCTAGCTCTATAATCACTCATACTATGCTTTTTTATTTTATTTATCTTCGGAGGTCGAGAAGACCGGGTTATAAAAGCTCTAAATAAATAAATAAATAAATAAATATTTCTAAGTCTCTTTCATAGTAACTTCACTTGAGAATAAAACCTTGCTCTTTAGAGAGGTTTAATGTTTGTAAGATTTTTTGTTTTTATTTTCACAGACCTCCATGAAGCCCATTTACCTTTCCTGGTTGCTTATTGTTCTTCAAGTATATTGTCAACACCACCCAAGACAAAACATTGGCCCAGATGGTCATGGAGATAAAATCATATTTGAGGATCAGGATTCTCCTCTGGAAGAAGAACAAGGAAAGAAGACTACATATTATGAAAAGATAGCTCCTAATAATGCTGATTTTGCATTCAGATTCTACAGGCACATAGCATCCAGCACAGCTACTAAAAATATTTTCTTCTCTCCCTTCAGTATCTCCACAGCTTTTGCTATGCTGGTTCAGGGTGCCAGATCTGAAACCCAAAACCAGATTTATGAAGCTCTTGCTTTTAACCTGTCTGAGATTGAGGAGCATGAGCTCCATAAAGGATTCCACCAGCTTATCCACACGCTTAACCACCCAAATAACAAAGCACAAGTGAAGATAGGGAATGCCATGTTCATAAACGAAACACTGAAAATACTGCCAAAGTTTCTGGAGGACATTGAAAGTTTATATACTGCTGAAGGGTTTTCTTCAAACTTTGGCAATTCAACAGCGGCTGAAAAGCAGATAAATGAGTATGTCCAAACCAAAACTCATGGGAAAATAGCCCAGGCAGTGGAAGATCTGGATCCATTGACTGTAATGGTTCTTGTAAACTATATTTTCTTCAAAGGTACATTGAAAACAAAACAAATGATTTGGGTCTGGTGAAACACCCAGGAATCCAGATAATTAAAGTTGACTTCAAGATCTCTTTATCTAGGATGGTGGTTCTTAACCTAGGGGGTCACCAGATCTTTTGGCCTTCAACTGCCAGAAATCCTAACAGCTAGTAAACTAGGAATATCTGGGAGTTGTAGGTCAAAACACCTGGGGATTCACAGGTTGAGAACCACTGATCTAGGGCCCTTCTATAGTGATTAGTAAAGCAGGCTCAATCTTGCATTCCAGACATTGGATTAGCCCCACACGTTGGCCCAATTTGGACTCCCTGAGCTGTCTCAGAAGCAGCAGAGAATCCTGCTTGCCCAGCCACACTGAACATGGTTGGGCACCACTAAGCAACCACCCTAGAGGACTCCTTTCACCTCCCATGTCACACCTATCCCAGCTGCAACACTCACCTCCGATGTTCCTGGGGATTCCGGCTGACATCAACCAGATCACCCAGGAACATGGTAGAAAGTGTAATTGCTGGGAATAGCCATGACACAGAAGGAGAGGACAACTGGAGGCTGCTACCCCACATCCCTCGGCCACGTGAGACAGGGGAGCACAGGATGGCTATCAAGACAACTGCTAGAAGTTGCCCCAACTGTCTTGATAGTCTCTAACTAGAATCAAAATGAGCCCAGTCATTCACATCCCCCCACTTTCCCCCCAAAGCATTCCATTAAGCCTTTCTTAACATGGGGGTAAAATCAGGATAGTCAAATCTACCTCATATTAGAGACCAGAAGTTCCTGGATGTTGCCCAGGAATGACTTGGGATATGTGAGATATGTGGCTAAGGTAAACAGGCTCTTGGTGAGGATCCAAATGAATGAAAGGGAGAATGTCAGCTTATAACAGAATACTGTATCTCAGAATTAAATTCAAAAAGTAGCATCTCAAATTTTTCATTTTTTAAAAAGGAGGAGGAACAGACCATTTTCAGTCTTTGCTGGTTGATGTGCCCAGTATTTCAAGAGTGATTTTTATTTTAAAAAAATGTTTAAAGACCGTGAGATAAGGAATGTTTCTTTCAGGATGTAAATTGGAGTCCCGTATACACAATATGTCTCAACTAGTGTTAATCTGTTTTAACTACTAGTGCTGTTGCCATCTTGCTTTATATTTCCAATGAAATTTCCACAGTTCATTTGACTGGATCTAGATTTTTAAAAAATGTACAATTTTTTGTTTCTTGGACTTTTTTCACATCAGGAGTGACTTGAGAAACTGCAAGTTGCTTCTGGTGTGAGAGAATCAACTGTCTGCAAGGATGTTGCTCAGGGGATTCCTGGATGTTTGATGTTTTACCCTCTTTCTGGGAGGCTTTTCTCATGTCCCCGCATGGAGAGCTGGTGCTGACAAAGAGAGCTCAACCTGCTCTCCCCAGATTCAAACCACTGACCTGTCAGTCAGCCGTCCTGCTGGCACAAGGGTTTAACCCATTACGCCACCGGGGGCTCCTTGGACTGACGTATATAAACACATAAATAGCATAAATATAAATTTGCATTTTTGATCATTAATATTCACACTAACCTGTGACATTTCTCTATCCCACAAAGCTCACTGGGAAAACCCTTTTGATCCTTATTATACTAAAGAAGCAGACTTTTTCTTGGATGCCAACACCACTGTGAAAGTCTCTATGATGTATCGACAAGACTATTTCAATTTTCTCTACGACCGCAATCTGTCTTGCTGGGTGGTGGAAGTCCCATATAAAGGGGATGCTTCTGCGTTTTTCATTCTGCCAGACAAAGGGAAAATGGAGCAAGTGGAGAGCGCCTTATCAAGTGAAACTCTGGCTAAATGGCAAACATCCTTAACACTTAGGTAAGTCTTCTAATCAGTGTCTTCAGCACTTTTCTTTTCTTTATATTCAGACTTTTGTTTGTTGAATTATTTTGCATCTTTATCTGAAAAACTGGATTCAAATTCAGTTGCTGTGAGTTTTCCGGGCTGTATGGCCATGTTTCAGAAGCATTACCTTCTGATGTTTCACCCACATCTATGACAGGCATCTTCAGTGGTTGTGAGATCTGCTGGAAACTAGGCAAGTAGAGTATATATATATATATATATATATATATATATATATATATATATGCTAATCAAGGTGCTTGATTGCAACATTCATACTTGTCTCGAACAGACAAAAGTTCTTTCTCCCACCCTGTACATTCTACAGATATATAAACCCCACTTGCCTTGTTTCCAACAAGCCTCACAACCTCTGAGGATGCCTGCCATAGATGTGAGTGAAATGTCAGGAGAGAATGCTTCTGGAACATGGCCATACAGGCCGGAAAACTCAAAGAAATTCACAATCGTCTTCAGGCTGAAATGGGTGGGATAGAAATAATGTAAATAAATAAATAAATAAAACGTATCAGGCCACTGTTTCCTTTTTTTTCAAGCAAAGAAATCAGACCACCATAGGTATAAATCCTATAATGGTCTATGTCCAGATAAGATAATTTGGCCAGCACACATCCACAGTGTCTGGGGAATAGGCAAGATCCAGTTGCAGTAGTGCAGCTGGGAAAACCCATCATCCACAGCAAGTATGGTTTGTTGATAAGGTGTGAGTTCATTGAGCTAGAAGATACTAGGTGGCTCCTACATCAGTCATAGAAACAGTACATATGCTGGTCTACTGAGAGGTTATATCAATTGATGTTACCAGAGGTTTTCAAGCAGATGGAGACATATTTATCTAATTACTCATGGCCCTGTCCAACTTTATGTGTATACCCTCAAGTTTTGACAACACCTGGATGTGATTTAATGAAAATTATTTAATATTTGGAATGTTGTTGTTTCTTTGTTAACCAGAGAAATTCATCTATTGATTCCAAAACTGTCAATTACTACATCTTACAATGTGAAAGATTTGCTGCAAAAAATGGGCATGACTGATGTCTTCAGTGAAAATGCTGACCTGTCTGGAATAACTGGGGAACCGAATCTGAAGGTTTCCAGAGTAAGTATGACATTCAGAATAATTATCAGTCTCGAACCAGGATTTCGTTTCGGGGGGGGGGGCTAAAAAATTTTCAGGGGGGGTTTGGGGGGGCTGAGTTTCGGGGGGGGCTGAGTCTGAGTGAAAGAGGGTCTAGCCTAGCAAACCTTTTGTATCATTACCCCAATACCCCCATGCATATGGGATATATTGAGTATGGTGATCAGATCATGATATGAATAAACATAACAGTTTAAATAATGCACCAGGAAGGCCTTTTTGCGAACCACCATGAGAATTTCGGGGGGGGGGGGGCTGAAGCCCCTCAAGCCCCCCCCCCCCCTGGCTACATGCCTGGTCTCTAATAACTAACAGCAAGCAGAATTTAGCAAGTTATAATGTGACTGAATCTAATGTTTCATCTGGAACAGTATTTGCAACTTTGCATTACCACACATATCTTCAGAGAGACTATATCCCCAGGAAGTTATGAAGTATTAATAGGCATTACTGGCACAGTCTTGTATTTAAAAATATATGGCAGAGCCTTGTCATAAGGTAGAAATAGTAAGCAACCACTTGCTTGTGTCCACTAACAATTGAAGTATATAATACCTTGGTGTTCCCTAGAACCCCAGAACTAGAACTAAGCCATGACTGTAGCTACAATCTGTCTATGACATATGCCAAATCTCTCAAAGTATGATACCTTTTAAAAATTAAGGCCTCATGCACACTGGACAATTTGGCCTAGTGTAAATCTGTCTCAGAGGAAACTTGGATTCTGAACATTCAATCTCTGCTCCTTCATGCAGGCAATGCCCCTCTTCCTTGCTAATGAAGCAGACACTCCATTCTGACAAAAGGCAAAGGTGCCCCTGATGGCCAGGCATTTGCACTGAGCTCTGTGGTCAACTAGCACTGACAACAGTGGCATGGGCATTATCCATGGAAGAGTAATTGTGCTGGTGTCCAGTCTGAACAACAGATTTAGGCTACGTCAGACTAAGTCCTGCTGTTTGTTATAGGTAACAAACAGCACTTCGTATTTAGCCCAGAAGCAGATCCTGCCTCCAAGGTGCAGGATACTCTAGGTGCAGGATACTCTAAAGTTTCTAACAAACCCTGAAGTATCCACTGACTTTACTTATAGTAGGGCACTGACTTTGCTTATAGCAGGATACTCCGAGGTGCAGGATACTCTAAAGTTTCTAACAAACTCTGAAGTATCCACTGACTTTGCTTATAGGGGGCAAAAAACGGACAAAGTTTGCCCCAGGCACAGTCCATTGTATGCTAATCAAGGTGGTCAGTTGAAACATTCACACCTAGCTCCAGCAGAGAAGAGTCCTTTGTCTCACCCTGGTCATTCCACAGTTATATAAACCCTTTTGCCTAGTTCCAACAGACCTCACTACCTCTGAGGATGTTTGCCATAGATGCAGGCGAAACATCAGGAGAGAATGCCTCTAGACCATGGCCATATAGCCCGAAAAAACCTACAACAACCCAAAGTTGATTTAGAGTTTCTTCTCTCATTTCCACCAGCCATACTTGAGATGGGGGTGAGACCAAGAGCATGGCCTCCTCCGCAGATCTCAGTGCTCGAGCTGGTTTGTAAATGAAGATGAGATTCTGCCAATAATCCGAACCTGAACGATTTAGGACTTCATAGGTAACAAACAGCACTTTGTATTTAGCCCAGAAGCAGATTGGCAGCCAGTGGGGTTGCCACAGCATGGGAGTCATCCTCTCACTATAAGGTGCTTTGATCAGAAACCTAGCCTCTGATCTCTGCACCAGTTGAAGCTTCTGAGCTATCTTCAAAGGCAGCCCCACACAGAGAGCATTGCAATAGTCCATACAGAAAATAACCAAGGCATGGACTACCATGGCCAGATCTGACACCTCAAGGTATAAGCACAGCTGGTGCACAAGTTTTAACTGTGCAAAGGTACTCCTGGCCACCGCCGACACCTGGGGTTCCAGGAGCACCCCCAGACCGCGAACCCGTGTCTTCAAGGGGAATGTGTCCCGTCCAACACAGGTTGTAATCCCACACCCTGATCCACCTTCTGACTGACCAGTAGTACCTCTGTTTTGTCTGGATTTACCTTCAACTTACCATCACTGAGGACAGGCACCAGTTTAGGGGCAGGATGGCATCCTTGGCATTCTGTGGAAAGGAGTAATAGGTGTAAATAATGTGAATAATTTTATATATATATATATATTAGGGCTGGGCGGTTTTGTTTCGTTAATTCGTAATTCGTTAATAATTCGTTAATTTTTTCAATTACAAAACAATAACGAACCATTCTGGAGCAATTATTAAAAAAACGAATTTTCAAAAACGTTTTGTAAATGCTTCGTATTTCGATATTGTATTCGTTTCGTTATTGTTTTGAGGTCGTTTCGTTATTATTTCCGCATGTCTGGGCCAGTTTTATGGTTTAATTAGTGAAAAAAAATTATAATATCACACCAACAGTCAACAACAGAGGGAGAGGGAAGCTTCAGAAGGTTTTGGAGGTTTTTTAGCGTATTTCGCGGTCGCGTCCGCCATTAACGAATCGATTCGTTATTGTTTCGGAAATCGATTCGTTATTTTTTTACCATTTACGAAATTTCGTAAATATCGAACTTTTTAAAAGGAAAATTTTGTAATTATTTTAAATATCGAAACAAAAAAAACCCCAAATACAAATCGATTTTAGAAACAAATTTTTCCGTTGTTACCCAGGCCTAATATATATATATATATATATATATATATATATATATATATATATATATACACACACACACACACACACACATACACACACAACAACAACAACAACAACAACAACAACAATATTGGACTTCATTGACCTTTGATTATATTCATTAGGGGTCACTATTGCAGCCCACCTCCTTTTATTATAATTTCATGGAACATAGAGATGTTTTATTCCTAGCACTAGAGGTAGAGTGCCAGATCCCAGGACATCCCTGTGCCTTCTGCATAAGTAAACAATAAAATATCTTTATTTCCATACAGGCTGTTCACAAGGCTGTCGTGGATATTCATGAGAGTGGCACTGTGGCAGGGGGAGTCACTGCTATACAGATTACAGCAAGGTGTTGTTCTCCTGAAACTTACATCAAATGCAACCACCCTTTCCTCTTCCTAATTGTTAATAAAGCAACACATACCATCCTCTTTGCAGGGAAAATTCTAAATCCATCTGAAAAATGATCACTACCTGATCAGCTACCTGATCACATCTTACATCATAAATAAAAGTTGATGTAATTCCAATAAGATTTAAACTCAGTTTGTTTTGACGTTAAATAAGAGGTGTCTAAAGCATCCATTGTGTGAATAACATTACTTGAAAATGTAAATTGATTTTCTCCACTACCATATGACTTATTAAACATTTCTTTCCATGAAGGAAGCTCATTACTCCATTGGTGAATGGTGAGGTCTGATAAAGTGATTGTTCTTCTGTAATGTAAACCTCATGGGGAAACGTCAGTAGATGGATGTGCAATTCTCAAGGGATGCAATTAGGAAAACTTCTGGTAAGGGGTAACTAGAATAAACTAGTAGGCATCCAAAATATGAACATGGATTTTGGGACAAGACTTGGATACATGGCTGTCACTCTAACCACAAAACCCACATCTAAACACAGCTTTAATGCTGCAGAGTGACAGTCATCCTATGCATGAAGGCCAACAGTTGCAGATAGACCTCTGAATAATGTCTGTTGACGTTTTACCCAGTATGTACACATCCAGAAATGTTTTAGGGGAATTATTCTACACAAATCATATGGGTGAATGCTATGTTATAATCCTAGATTGCTCACTTAGGATGGTTCTACAGCGATAAATGTTGTCCTGTGTGTTGAGTTAAGCCCACTTGATGGCCTGATAGGGACTCCCTGAGCCATCTCAAAAGAAAGTCCCCATCTCCCCTGCCCAGCTTTTTTAGTGAGACTGCAGCCTGGCAAAAGCCTGGTGGACTGCCCTGGAAAAGATAGGAGAGGTGTCCTGCCTGGTAACAATAAGATGAGGGGATAGGAAGGCAAAGCCAACCTGCATCCCTAGGCCACTTAAAACTAGGGATCATGAGATGACTGTCAAGACAGCTGCTGGTGGTTCTGTTTCAGAACCAGTCAAGCTATCTGGACGCCTTCTAGTTCAGGGGACTATTTAAATCCTACCTCAGAATTTGAGATTTCCCCTGGATTAAGCTAAATCAGTCACCGTACAGTATACTATCATGGGGCTGATCAAGCCATAGAAGTCAGTAATGTCCCCAAAAAACTGTTATCCCCTGAATAAGAGAAATTGATGTAAGAGTATCTGCATATCCCTCTGAGACATACTTGCTATGTGATGACTGTGGAAGAAAGCCCTGATTCTATGATAATGCCAACCTTACAATCTCTCTATCAATGTTTAAATAAGACTTCCTCCAAGAACAAAATATATTTAGCTGGGACCTAAAAGGGACTGTTGTAAGAGACAAATGTTATAAAACTGTGCACTTACCAAACGTGCAAAATCAGCACTACATACCATATCCATTGCATCATGGTTTACTTTCTGTCTCTCCTGTGCAATCCATATTTGCTCTGTTTAATGGTTAATAGGAAGTATTATAATCATTCATAGGGAGTACTATTTAAAGTTAGCATATAAGTGACAATGCACACACTGGTGTTTTCTATTTTGGAGCCATAGAAATTTGCTGAAACTCTGTAAGTATACTACATTTGCTTTGTTTATGAGCTATCTAAGTATACTGACCACCAGGTTCCTGTATTGGAAAACATATCCAACAGGCTGAACAATCAGATGTCCCCCTTTTACCCATCACAAAAAGCCAAATTACCAGTTGGAGAGAGAGGAATCAGCAAAGAGACATCCAGCTATGTCTCTATAGCTGGATGCACAGCTACTAGCATTATGCATAAGTCCATAGGCTTTCTCTAGACATCCTGGAGGATGATATTATTGTTTTTCATCCAGAGATAGGAAGTTGGATAGATGCTTTTCCATTTATTTGCCACTGCTCTGTATTAGCTAGAAAATGACCACTTTTGATGGGATTGCAGCAGCTAAGGCTCGTCTTTGGAGAAGGTTTGGTTGCTGTGCCATTGGTAAATGTTTCCAACATCCACAATGACCAAAACAGGAGCTGCAAAGTTGTAAATTTGATTATAGCTACATAATTCATCAATAGGGGTTCTAGCCATTATTTTAATCACAACACAACATTTGAGATGGAGGATCACAAAGATTATTTTTGCATAGGAATGTCCATTCACATCAGTGGAGCACTCAGTGGGGCTCATAGATTGTACAAAGGATGGTACAGAGAAGAACAACAGAGTCTGATATCAAACATAGTTCATGGAGTCAGAGGGTAGATGAAACTTCTGATGTTAAATCAGGGCAGAGGGCAGATTAAACTTCTGATCTAAAAGAATGAAAGAATTCCTTGATAAAAACAAACCCCGGGTGAAACTATTTAACTATTGGTAACTATTTGCCTTGGTAAAATTAGTTATTCAGCATTTGTCACTGCAATCCAATAATCACTGAAATTACTTTAGAAGATATCATTGACTATAATAGTTGGGATCCATCAAGGCTGCATTCAAGGGGGGGGGGAACCCATAAAAATTAAGCGCATTTCAAGGTAATTTTTAAAGAAAAAAACCCCTAGATTTGGCAAAAGCAGACTTGGTAGCCCATACACTACACTATGTTCATGCATGAACAGTTGAGATGGTAATATATCAGTGCTTTTCTGTGTGAAAAATGCAGTTTCTTGGAGTAAAGACAAGAGTTCAGAAAGGGAGGTGGGTGTTGGGGGAATGACTTCTTTGTTCATGAGTATGTATACCCTGCTCCTCTTCTAGAAGGGTCCCCTGGTGGCACAGCAGGTTAAACCACGGAGCTGCTGAACTTGCTGACTGAAAGGTCGGTGGTTCGAATTTGGGAAGCGGGGTGAGCTCCCGCTGCTAGCCCCAGCTTCTGCCAACCTAGCAAGTTTGAAAACATACAAATGTGAGTAGATCAATAGGTACCACTTTGGCAGGAAGGTAACAGCACTCCATGCAGTTATGCTGGCCACATGACCTAGGAGGTGTCTATGGACAATACCGGCTCTTTAGCTTAGAAATGGAGATGAGCACCAGACCCCAGAGTAGGGCACAACTAGACTTAATGTCAAGGGAAACCTTTACCTTTATTACCTCCTCTAGAGCTGCCCTATTCCCCTATGATCTGGAACTACTTTGTCTGACAACTGGAAAGCAGGCAATACCTCTTCTGCTCAAAGGCAGTGAACTGTCACCCAACCTCAACAAGAATAATCTGTACATATGCCCACTTTAAATGAAACCCAAATACACTGGGGGGAAATGATTTAGGAGATTTGCTGCTTCTTTTTATTCCCAGAAATTTGGGCATATAATTGCAGTTGTAGGAGATATGAGTGAGCCTTGATATCTTCCATGTTTCAATGCAACCATTTTGAATTGGTTGGCTGCTTTCATTTGACTGGGCTATATTCTGCCTCAGTAAAGGATATGGATTCACATCTTCTTGAATTTGGCCATCATGAGATTACACCATGAGCATTATCTGCTGCTTCCAGTTAGAAAACCATCCAACACAAGATTTAGATGCAAATGTGATCAAATTTCTTACTATACCTTCCTTAAATTGTACAGCGTATGCAATAAAGACAATTTGTGAAAAATTTCCAGTTGTTGGAAGAAAAAATAGGCTGCATATTTTGAAGTTATTATGTTTTTTTCCCCTAAAGAATGATGCAAGGATTAAGGATCCATCAAATGCATTTAATCTTATGTAGTTATGCTTCTATCAATGCAAGAGTTTTCAATGGAGCTGGTTTTACTAAATACACAAAGATATGGTGCAATACAAACACTTGCAGAAGAGGGGACAAGAGCGAGAGAAAGGAAAACATGACTTTTTCACAAAGTTTACATACATGTAACTAATTGGAATTTGCATCCATGCTAATTAAAAACATAATACTATAAACACTTATGCCTAAAACCAATTAAAATAAGACCCAATAAAATCCTCCTAAAATCATATTCAGTTAAACATATAACTATGTCAGAATATCTTAGTTTACTACAACACAGGTTTGAATGAATGTCTACAGTGAAGTAATAGGGTATGTCATTAAAAGTCAGTTTTTCACTAATGCCAGGATTCAAAGTGGGCCCCCTGATGGCGCAGCGGGTTAAACCACTGAGCTGCTGAACTTAATGACCAAAACATTGGCGGTTTGAATCCAGGGAGCAGGGTGTGCTCCCACTCTTAGGCCCAGTTTCTGCCAACCTAGCAGTTCAAAAATTTGCAAATGTGAGTAGATCAATAGGTACTGCTTCTGCAGGAAGGTAACGGTGCTCCATGCAGTCATACTGGCCACATGACCTTGGAGGTGTCTACGGACAACACCGGTTCTTCGGCTTAGAAATGGAGATGAACACCAACCCCCAGAGTCGGACACAACTGGACTTAATGTCAGGGGAAACCTTTACCTTTATTTTAGCATCCAAACCATTGTTGTATTTCTAGCACTAGCATTCAGAGCCCAAAAATTGTAAGACCTATCAAAGCTCTTCCTGCATGATCTTCAGTGGATTTTAAAACAATTTATTCCACAACCAACAGAATACTGTTGGCCAAAAACATTACAAAGTGTTTACCGAGGGAAAAAAGTTAACCCAAAAATTCACCTATTTGTGCCAGCTTCCCTCAGCACGTAATATTTATATCCCTCTCTCATTTTGGATACATGCTAATATTCTTCACGAGGAGATGGAACAAGTTGGTGAATTGTGAATCAACACATGGGTAAATCCAGTTGAATAACTCTAGTGTCACTGAGGCTTACATTAGGATATAAAACCATACCATGATATTGTCTAAACCACACTCCACCATTCTTGGACACATCTCATTAGACAAGAGTTGGACTCCTGAACTAAAGCAATGAGTTCTGCAACTGGCTAAAATTCAGTTACTTGGGAGAAAGTATCATTGAAATAAATATATTATTCAATTACTTCTTAGTCCTATATAAACTAGGGCAACATTGATAACCTGCTTAAGTCTGCTGTAGGATTCATTGAAATTAATCTATTAATTAATGATTTCTTAGTCATATGAAGACTAATATAGGACAACATTGATAACCTGCTTAAGTCTTCTATGGGATTCTGTCTATTTATCTACCTATTATAGCAGAACAATTTCAAGAAATAATGAAGCACATCATCTACCTCTTCTTCTTCCTGATTGGTCTTCATGTCCATTGCCATCACCTCCCAGGACATCACAATGATCAGGAGACAGATGAAAATCCAGTGGAACATCAACATCAGCATTTGGAGGAAGGACAAGACAATAAGACGGCAAAATGCCATAAGATTGCCCCTAGTAATGCTGATTTTGCATTCACATTATACAGACAAATTGCTTCTGATGGGGCTGGAAGAAATGTGTTTTTTTCTCCGGTGAGCATTTCCACATCCATGGCGATGCTCAGCCTTGGAGCTAAATCAGAGACTCAGTCTCAGATTCATAAAGGACTTGCCTTTAACCTGTCAGAAATTGAAGAGAAGGAGATACATGAAGGCTTCCAGCATCTCATCCATATGCTCAACCGTCCAAAGAACAAAGCAGAGATCAACATAGGGAATGCCTTGTTCATAGAAGAATCCTTAAAAGTTCTGCCTAAGTTTTTAGAGGATGCCAAAACCCTTTATGAATCTGAAGGCTTCTCTTCCAACTTCCAGAATGCTACCCTTGCTGAAAAACAGATAAATGATTATGTAGAGAACAAAACCCATGGGAAAATACCCCAAGCAGTTGACGGTCTGGATCCAAGCACTGTGATGGTTCTCCTTAACTACATCTTCTTTAAAGGTACATCACAGATAAATAACTTAAGAAAAACATAAAACAATAACAATGTTCAGTCAGCAAAAGATAAATATTAAAAGAGTAAGCTGATAACAAGATGTGGTTTGGCTCCAGATTACACTTAAATTGATTCCTGATCCAAAATTGAGTCCAAATCAGAATCTGGATTCAGAAATTAAATCTTCAGGCCTTTTTTGCCTGGCATTGAGAACCAAATGTGTATATTTTTGCTGTTCTTATTATCAGAATTACATTAAAGTTGTAGCTATAGTAAAAAAAATAATTTCTAAATTCCATTTACTTATGATCCTACTTGATTTGGAGGGGCCCAAATCAAAATCTGGATTCAGAAATTCATGCCTCTTTTGACTGGCATTGGGAACCAAATGTGTGTATTTTATTGTTATTATTATCAGAATTAGTTGAAAGTTTAAGATATAGTAAACACTTAAGATCTCATTTTTAAGGATAATATGTCATATTTTTATTGCACTCATATGATTGTGTATGTCACATTTATTTATCTGAATACTGGACTTAATAGAAAACCCCAAAAAATAACCCCAACCTTTGTCTTTTCTTTGTATGTTAAGGATTCTGGGAACACCCTTTCAACACCCGATCCATTAGGGAAGAAGATTTTTTTGTCAATGCAAACACAACTGTGAAAGTCAACCTGATGTTCCAAAATGGTCACTACAAATATCTCCATGATGATGACCTGTTTTGCACAGTGGTAGAAATCCCATACAAAGGAGATGCTTCAGCGTTCTTCATTCTTCCAGATGAAGGGAAAATGCAGCAAGTGGAGGATGGTTTGATGAAAGGGCATCTATCAAAATGGGGGAAAGCCTTTCAATACAAGTGAGCTTTTTCTGTATGCTGTTCCTAAATGTTGCTGCTGCTGCATTATTAATTATTATAGCATTAAAGGCAGTTCGGGAAGTGCTGCACTTCCATTGTCAAAGGAATCAAATTCCATGTGAGTGATGATGCTGAAAGCTCTTGCCTAACAAATTGAGGGTGGGGAACAAAGGTCCCAGCACATGAATGTTTTGCCAGCCCTTACTCCCCTCTATTTCTCCTGTTATTATGGTGCCATCCTCAGTATCACAGGCTGGAATTGTTAAATATTAGATAGGCAAGAATCACATAAGACCTATACAACTCAGAAATTACGAATATCATTTACACTGTAGGATGAGATCTACACATAACATTACATGTTTTTCTCTTAATCAGGCAACTTGATGTGTACATTCCAAAATTCTCTCTGTCTAAATCCTATGATGTCAAAGTCTTGCTCCAGAGACTGGGTGTGACAAATGTCTTTGATCAAAATGCTGATCTATCTGGAATTGTTGAAGAAGGCGACCTGAGAGTTTCTAAAGTAAGTGCAGAAATGGAGTTCTTGTCCACTATTGCCATACAATTTCCTAAACTCTATTTAGCCATGAAAACAAGTAACTTCTTGGGAGACAAGTACCAATCTGACAATGAGTGTCCAACTCCCTCCCCCAAAGGACATGCATTTCATTCTTCCTTATTTAGCTTCCCCAATTTCATCTTCACTTGCCGGTGTTTCCTCCTAGCTCTGCATTGGCCCTGCTGAACTGTCATTCCACATCACTGCTGCTGCTCCTTGCAAGCTCCATGCAAATGTCAGCCCTTGCCTCTCACATCTGCTAATGTCCCAGGACCCTTCCACATAGTCCTATATTCCAGAATATCAAATCAGAAAATCCCACATTATCTGAGTGTCAACTCAGATAACCCACTTTAAAGCAGATATTGTAGGATTTTCTGCCTTGATATTCTGGGATATAAGACTGTGTGGAAGGGGCCTCAGTGGGATGCCTGTATTGTTAGTAATCATGACAGCAACGGCCAAGTGTTCACATGGTACTCCATGGCCAAAAGGGAAACAGCAATGTGGGGACTACAGTTCTGGGCATCACTATTCAAGAAGGATATTCACAAGCTAGAACATGTCCAGAGAAGGGTGACTAAAATGAACAAGGATTTGGAAACCAAATCAGGCTTAGGGAGTTGGATATGTTTAGTTTGGAGAAAAGAATGCTGAGAGGGCACATGACAGCCATTTTTAACTATTTGAAAAGAGGAGGCAGGCTTGTTTTCTGCTGCTCTGGAGACTAGGGCATAGAGCAATCAATTCAAATTGCAGGAATAAGAATTCCATCTAAATATTTGAAAGAACTTCCTGACAGTAAGAGGCATTAAGCAGCGGAATATGCTGCCTTGGACTGTGGGGGAGGTACTTTCTCTGGAGGCTTCTAAGCAGAGCTGGATAGCCATCTGTTGGGGATGCTTTGATTCCATATTCTTGCATGGCAAAGGGTTGAGTCCGTGGGGGTCTCTTCCAACTCTATGATCCTATTATTCTATGGGCCATTCCCCCCTCCCCTGCACTGATCAGTGCAGGGAAAGGCTGATGGCACAGTGTTTGTGTGGACAGGAGATTGGACTGAAGCTGATTCAATCAAGCTGTCCAGACTGCCACAAATCCCTGGGCCACTCCAGAGTTTCCTGTAAACTCATCCCCAACCATGCTTAAAGTGAGACAACTTCAAATTAAGGCAAGAAGTCAGAATATGATTATAATTTTAATGGTTTTATATGGATTTTATTATGTTATATTAAATGTTTTTAATTGATATGTATATATGTATGCTGTGGCATGAAATTGTTGCCAATCTGTACGCCGCCTTGAGGTACCTTCGGGCTGAGAAAGGCGGGATAAAAACGTGGCAAATAAATAAATAAGATAAGATAATCACCAGAAGACCTCCTGCATGAATTGAAGGTGAATCTGGATTCCTAGTGTTGACTCGCCCTTAGGGTCACCATATATGTGAAACAACAACTTGAAATACACAAGACAAAATCGACCACAACAATGTCAATAGGGTTGTGGGCCATGTTTAATATTTCCCTGGAAGTTTTACCACCATAACAACTGAAGGCCCAACTCAAAACTGATATCTATTCCCATTTAAGGGATGGGGCATAGGCAGGCTTTTCTTCACATGGTATGAAGACAATGATTTTACTGTTCCTTCTTCCCAGGCAATCCATAAGGCTGTGGTGGATGTTCACGAGTCTGGAACTGAGGCAGCAGCAGTGACCGTGATACAGATTACACGCATGTCTGCTCACAGACCTCCTCCAACTGTCTTCAGATGTGACAAACCTTTCCTGTTTCTCATTTGTGATAAAATGACAAACAGTATTCTATTCTTTGGGAAAGTCATGAACCCAACTGAAAAATAAAAATAAAGCAAACAGCCAATCCTTCCAAGATACTCCCTCGCTAAATGTATGTTTCCATTACAATGTATTTCTGCTGAAAATATCTTCACTCCCACAGCTTTAAAAAAAACTCTTTGTAGAAGGGGAGAACACCAACTCGAATCTAGTTAGGTAGCCCCTAAAGCGGGCTCTGAATCCATTGCTGAATGGTTGAATCAACCTGTAGGCAAACTTAATTCATGCAAAGGCTCTATTTTGTCAAGACTAGCAATAGGATCTAGGCTACTGATTGACTGTAAAAGCTTCACATAATAGCATATATGCACACACACATGCAAACATACATACATACACACATAATTCAGCCATTGGATCTTGAAGTGTAATTCCTTTCTCATCATTAACACAGGTGTAGTGATTGTGTGGCCCTCTACATATTGTAGAACTGCAACTCCTAGCATTATCTGATACTGGCTGTATGAGCAAGAGCTGCTGGGAGTTGTAGTCTAAAATCTGTGGAAGGCTCTTGCCCACTTCGTCTCCTTTGTGGGGCCTCACTGCTTCTTTGGTATATTACAAAGTGCTATACAAAGACTAGCATCTTGAAGAAGAAATTATGAAGAATGAAAATGAGTCAATGATCTTGTTTCAGGTGCTTTGGGTGAAATATTGTTAGTCAGCTCTAATGGAAATGCATACTTTGATATTAAAGATAAATCTTCCCCTTTGGCTGTAACACAGCTCAGAATACTTAACATTCTGTATTAAGATGAACCCTTCAGAAAAGTATAATCCAACTCACCCCTTCTTAAGGAGGTACATCTTCACTGACTCTTTCCTTCACACAAGAAATTGCAAATATTCAAAACATTCCTTCCCACCCAAAACAAATGAGAGATTTTGCAAAGCTTGTAATGATTTTTCACACACTTTTTTTCATGTCAGGAGTGACTTGAGAAACTGCAAGTCACCTCTGGTGTGAGAGAATTGGCTGTCTGCAAGGACGTTGCCCAGGGGATGCCTGGATGTTTTGATGTTTTTCCATCCTTGTAGGAGGCTTCTCTCATGTCCCCAAATGGGGAGCTGGAGCTGACAGAGGGAGCTCAACCCGCTCTCCCCAGATTAAAACCGCTGACAAATCGGTCAGCAGCCCTGCCAGCACAAGGGTTTAACCCATTGCTCCACCGGGGGCTCTAAAATTTTCACCCACAAATACTTTGGAATTGATAGATTTCTCCGTTTCTGCATTTTTCAGTTCCTTTTCTTTTTCAATATTATATTTCCTTTATACTGAAATTTAAAAGTTTTAACATCCTTAATTTTGCACACAATATGAATAAAATAGCTTTATTTCTCATTATGCTATTGTACAATGAAATTCCATGCCTTCCCCCACAAACACCGCAAAACAACACATCAATTCCTCCACACCCTCACCACCACTACCACACAGCCCCCAATGCCACATCAATGTGAAACCACAGAGTTCACCATAGCCACAGCTGTGGGATAAAAACCATCCTTCAGTCTGTTTATCCTTGTCTTTGTCACCCTGCTCCATCTGCCAAATTACAATAATTCAAAAAAAAAAAAAGGAATATGTCGGGTGAGATGGATCCCCAAGAATGTTCTGAGGTTTCTTAAGCCAGTGGGAATTATAAAGTTCTTCCAATGAGGGGAGAGGGCAGCCAATGATTCACTGTGCAGAAGTGGTGCCCCTTTGGTGGTGCCACTGTGCAGCAACCAAACTATGCTCAGGTGCACTAGGTTTTGACACTGCCTATACTACAGCGTTGGAAAGTCTAATTCACAATTTTCCATGCAATCTACCTAAAAGAGTGCAATTTGGTGTGCTATTGCCTCCAATAGCTGAGTAGACTTTCCTTGAATATACTTTTTAGTTTGGAGGCTATCAACTTTAACACTCAAAAAAGTGCAAATTCCAAACAACTGATTTGCAATGCATTAATTTCTTCAAAAATGCTAGATCTAAAAGGGAACTGATGGATTTTGACCAACATCAGACCAATACATTTTGCAAATTGAAAACAAACATGTATAAGGATTGGGAAATAAAGAAAATAAAAATTGAAAACAACACTTTATGTCTGTGTGTCTCAGTGTTTTATATATAGACTATTGCTTACATACATGTACATTTTGTCCCATACACTCACATATACATACGAACACAGATACAGAGAAAGAAGGAGATCAGTTCATCGTTGCCCTGTGAATCAATTCTTAAATCTATCCCCGGGTGTAATATGAAGTTCTAATGTACTACCAAAGGTAATGAAAATATGTTAAAATAGAGTTCAGCACCAGGGAAAGGCCCCATAGAGTTCTGACTAAAACCAGGAAAGGGTGCACTATCTCATTGACACAGAACTCACTCGAAACCAGTATGTATGCATTTCTAGAAAGCATATCTCAAATTCACAACAATTGTAGAATCCACCTTCCTTTCTATTCTCAACCCTATTTTCCTAAAAAGTTGGCCACATAATGGCTTACAAACTAAAACACAACACAGTCTGTCTACTGTATCCACAAATTCTTCATCACTAGAAACCAGGGTGCACCACACTTCTGTAAAACATATCTCATGCCAACAAGAGTTCTAGAATCGTTCTTCAATTCTACCTTCAAACCTGTTTTCCTGATAAGGAAGGGCACAAGATGACTTACAAATCAAAATACAACGCAGTCTGCCTTCTGGGTCCATAGATTCCTTACCCAAAGAATTAACCATCAATGACTTGAAAATGCATTTTTTAAAAAACCTGAAATATAAAGCTTTATTTTTGTCCTCTTTATAGAGGGACAACATTTTACTATGCCATTGCATTGAATGGGTCTTGTGCATCCATGAATTATAACACTGGAGGACAAAAGATATGCCAACTGTACAATCTTTCTGTGAACATTTATATAAGATTTCCTCAAAGAGCACAGGATCAAACATTTAGCTGGAACTTAAAGCGTACAGTTCCTAGGAGAGCCCCAATTTTGGAAAACGGTATCCTTGCCAATGTGTGCAAAAACAAGAGCAACATGTCTATTGCATCATGGTTTACCTTTTGTTCATCTTGTGTTATTCATATTTGATCTGATTAATGGTTAATAGGAAGCATTATAATGATTCATAGGGAGTATTATTTAAAGTTGTTGTGTAAGGGACAATGCAAGCATTAGTATTTCCCACTTTGGGCCGGTAAGAATTTGCTGAAAAACTGTAAGTATAATACATTTGTTATCTATCATATTCTTTGTGAGATAGCTGTGTATAGTGGCCAGGTTTCTGGATTGGGAAATGTCTCATAAAGTTTCCAACAATGACATTTCTCCCCTTCACTCCCCACAAAAAACCCACATTATCCGCTGGAGAGAGGGACCAGGAAAAAAGAATCCACCTGTGCCTCTAAAACTGGATGCCCAGTTACTGGCATTCTCCATAAGCTCCTGGGCATCCTCTAGAAGAGTTGGAGAATTACATTATTGCTTTGCATTCAGCAATAGGGAGCACAGAGTCTATTTAATTTCTCTGCAACTGCTACTTATGAGCTAGTAAATGGCCATTTCGAAGAGACTGCAGCAGTTAAAAGCTGGTCTTTGGGGAAAATTAAAGTTTGGAGCTGCCGAAACTGCAGCAGCATCTTCATGGGGTACAGACCCTTCCTCCCATGCCTCCCTCACTACCCAGACTCTTCTCACTGCCCAGACCCTCCCCCGAAGCTTTCTTTGATTCCAAAATGCTATTGCCCTCCCACCTCTCTGGGAGTGCTTTGATTGTGCTTTTCCAGCATGACAGAAGGAATTTGGGTTGCTCCTATTATTATTATTATTATTATTATTATTATTATTATTATTATTACAAAGTCTGGATGACTATCTGCTGGGGTGCTTTGATTGTGCTTTTACTGAATGGAAGGAGGAGGTTGAACTGGATGGGCACAGGGATTTTCCACTGAAATACTGTTAAGTTTATGTTGGTAAGTTTCCTTCATTGTAAATATAGTGTTGTTCTTTGTTTATTTTTTTCTCTTTGCACTACAAATGAGGGTACATAGGAATTTGTTCATTTTTTTCAATTAGTTAACACAAACACTATCCATTTGCCACTGGCCCAGTCCATCTGTCAAATTTTAAAACACAATGTGGCCCCTGTGTCCAAAAGTTTACCCATGCCTGATATATATACATTTCTGATATAAACTATATCTATCTATAAAAATATTTCGTGGGGCTCCATGAGAAACTTTTGCTTCAAAAAGAGCTCTGAGGCTGAAAATATTTGAGATCCCCTGCTCTCAATCTTCCACCACACTTCGAAACATCTCATTACACAAGAGTGACACTCCTAAACTAAAGCAACAAGGCTGTAAAGAAGCTGTTCATTGGCTAACATTCAATTACCTGGAAATAAGTGTCTTTGAATTAAATAATCAATTATGTCTGAATAGTTCTATATCAGACAAACATTAATAACCCACTTATGTCTTCTATGAGATTCTATCTATCTATCTATCTATCTATCTATCTATCTATCTATTGTAGCTGAACAATTTCCAGGAATAATGAAGCCCATCATCTACCTCTTCTTCTTCCTGATTGGTCTTCATGTCCATTGCCATCACCTCCCAGGACATCACAATGATCAGGAGACAGATGAAAATCCAGTGGAACATCAACATCAGCATTTGGAGGAAGGACAAGACAATAAGACGGCAAAATGCCATAAGATTGCCCCTAGTAATGCTGATTTTGCGTTCACATTATACAGACAAATTGCTGCTGATGGGGCTGGAAGAAATGTGTTTTTCTCTCCAGTGAGCATTTCCACATCCATGGCGATGCTCAGCCTTGGAGCTAAATCAGAGACTCAGTCTCAGATTCATAAAGGACTTGCCTTTAACCTGTCAGAAATTGAAGAGAAGGAGATACATGAAGGCTTCCAGCATCTCATCCAAATGCTCAACCGTCCAAAGAACAAAGCAGAGATCAACATAGGGAATGCCTTGTTCATAGAAGAATCCTTAAAAGTTCTGCCTAAGTTTTTAGAGGATGCCAAAACCCTTTATGAATCTGAAGCCTTCTCTTCCAACTTTCAGAACACTGCAATTGCTGAAAAACAGATAAATGAATATGTAGAGAACAAGACCCATGGGAAAATACCCCAAGCAGTTGATGATCTGGATGCAAGCACTGTAATGGTTCTGCTTAACTACATCTTTTTTAAAGGTATATCGCAGATTAATAACTCAGAAAAATACCAAACAATAATAACAAAGATTAATAACAAAGACATAAAAGATTGACAATGTTAAGTCAGCCAGCCGAAAAATTTGTGGATAATTTACACTTCCAAAATGAGAACCTTATCTTTACAAAAGCGAAACATTTGTGTAAAGTGACCACAAGTTTTGATTTAGATTTAGCTAGAATTGATTGGGAGGTTCCCTGCGCTACCTTGGGTCCAAATCAGAATTTGCATTCTGAAATTGAATCTTCAGGACTCCATTAACTTAAATTGGGAACCAAATGTGTATACTTCTGTTGTTCTTAGTAACAGTAGTAGATATGAAAACACTAACTAATTTCCAAAGTCCATTTACTTAAGATCCCATTTTAAGGATAAATAATATGTATTATTTTTATTGCACTCAATGAATTCCATATGTCACATCTATGTAATGGAATACTAGCCTTCATAGAACATTCTGAAAACAAGAACCTTTGTCTTTTCTTTGCATCCTAAGCATTCTGGGAAGACCCTTTCAGTACTTTATCAATGATGGAAGAAGATTTTTTTGTAAATGCCAGCACAACTGTGAAAGTCAACCTGATGTCCAAAGAGTCCTATTACAAATATCTCCATGATGATGACCTGTTTTGCTCAGTGGTGGAAATCCCATACAAAGGAGATGCTTCAGCACTCTTCATTCTTCCAGATGAAGGGAAAATGCAGCAAGTGGAGGATAGATTGGGAAAAGGACATCTGTCCAAATGGGCAAAGACCTTGGAATACCAGTAAGCCTTTTCTGTATGCTGTTCTGAGATGCTGTAGCTGTGTTATTAATTCTCATAGCATTAAAGAAAGTTCTGGACATGTTGCCCTTCCATTGTTGTTGGAATCCAAATCCCATCAGTTCCATCCAGCACCCTTAGTGAACCTGGAACCCCGTAGTCCAGCAAATTGAGAACGGTGACAAACATTCCAAGCACTTGTATGCCTTGCTTTAGGGAAAGAATTTCATTCAAGTAACATGCCTTGCTTTAGGGAAAGAATTTCATTCAAGTAACATTTTAAGCTCCAGCAAAGGATCACCGCCTTGTCGGGGCGCTGGAGCTTGAGCACCTCAATGATGTCATGAGCGAAACCGTGAAGGGACACCCAAGACGGGACGGTTGTGGCAGAGAGGTCAGACCAAGCGTGATCCCTGGGGAAGGCAATGGCAAACCACACCAGTATCCTTGCCAAGAAAACTAAATGGACCAGTACAACCAGAGATATGTCGGTATGCCATTGGAAGATGGGACTCCCAGGTCGGAAGATGGCCAAAATGCTACTGGGGAGGAGCAGAGGATAAGTTCAACTAGCCCCAGATGTGATGACGCAGCTAGCTCAAAGCCGAAAGGAAGGCTAGCGGCCGACGGTACTGGAGGTGAACGACGAATCCGATGCTCTAAAGATCAACACTCCATAGGAACCTGGAATGTAAGATCTATGAGCCAGGGCAAATTGGATGTTGTTATTGGTGAGATGTCAAGACTAAAGATAGACATTCTGGGGGTCAGCGAACTGAAATGGACTGGAATGGGCCACTTCACATCAGATGGCCACCAGATCTACTACTGCGGACAAGAGGAACATCGAAGAAATGGAGTAGCCTTCATAATTAATAAGAAATTCGCTAAAGCGGTGCTTGGATACAACCCAAAAAATGACAGAATGATCTCAATTCGAGTGCAAGGAAAGCCTTTCAACATTACAGTGATCCAAATATACGCCCCAACCACAGCTGCTGAAGAAGCAGAAGTAGATCAGTTCTATGAGGATCTGCAGGACCTACTGGATAATACACCAAAAAGAGACATTATTTTCATTACAGGAGACTGGAATGCCAAGGTGGGAAGTCAAATGACAACAGGTATCACAGGCAAGCATGGTCTGGGAGAACAAAATGAAGCGGGACGCAGGCTGATAGAATTATGCCAGGAAAACTCGCTGTGTATAACGAATACTCTCTTCCAACAACCTAAAAGACGGCTTTATACATGGACCTTCACCAGACGGTCAACACCGAAATCAGATTGACTACATCCTTTGCAGCCAAAGGTGGCGGACATCCATCCAGTCGGTGAAAACAAGACCTGGGGCTGACTGTAGCTCAGATCACGAACTTCTTATTGCCCAATTTAGAATAAAACTAAAGAGATCAGGGAAAATACACAAACCAGTTAGATATGATCTCACTAACATTCCTAGCGAATATACAGTGGAAGTGAAGAACAGATTTGAAGGACTAGATTTAGTAAACAGAGTCCCAGAAGAACTATGGACAGAAGTCCGAGACATTGTTCAGGAGGCGGCAACAAAGTACGTCCCAAAGAAAAAAAAAACCAAGAAGGCAAAATGGTTGTCTGCTGAGACACTGGAAGTAGCCCAAGAAAGGAGGAAAGCAAAAGGAAACAGGGATAAGGGGAGATATGCCCAGTTAAATGCGCAATTCCAGAGGTTAGCCAGAAGAGATAAGGAACTATTTTTAAATAAGCAATGCATGGAAGTGGAAGAAGACAACAGAATAGTAAGGACAAGAGACCTCTTCCAGAAAATTAGAAACATTGGAGGTAAATTTCAGGCAAAAATTGGTATGATAAGAAACAAAGATGGCAGGGACCTAACAGAAGCTGAAGAGATCAAGAAAGGTGGCGAGACTATACAGAAGATCTGTATAGGAAGGATAATAATATCGAGGATAGTTTTGACGGTGTGGTGAATGAATTAGAACCAGACATCCTGAGGAGTGAAGTTGAATGGGCCTTAAGAAGCATTGCTAACAACAAGGCAGCAGGAGACGACGGGATCCCAGCTGAACTGTTTAAAATCTTAAAAGATGATGCTGTCAAGGTGATGCATGCCATATGCCAGCAAATATGGAAAACACAAGAATGGCAATCAGACTGGAAAAAATCAACTTATATCCCCATACCAAAAAAGGGAAATGCGAAAGACTGCTCAAACTTCCGTACAGTGGCCCTTATTTCTCATGCCAGTAAGGTAATGCTCAAGATCCTGCAAGGAAGACTCCAGCAATACATGGAGCGAGAGTTGCCAGATGTTCAAGCTGGGTTTAGAAAAGGTAGAGGAACGAGAGACCAAATTGCCGATATCCGCTGGATAATGGAGAAAGGCAGGGAGTTTCAGAAAAACATCTACTTCTGCTTCATTGACTATTCTAAAGCCTTTGACTGTGTGGATCATAATAAATTGTGGCAAGTTCTTAGTGGGATGGGCATCCCAAGCCACCTTTTCTCTCTCCTGAGGAATCTGTACAAGGACCAAGTAGCAACAGTAAGAACTGACCACGGAACAACAGACTGGTTCAAGATTGGGAAAGGCATACGGCAAGGCTGCATACTCTCACCCAACCTTTTTAACTTGTATGCAGAACACATCATGCGATGTGCGGGGCTTGATGAATGCAAAGCTGGGGTAAAAAATTGCTGGAAGAAACATTAACAACCTCAGATATGCAGATGACACCACTCTGATGGCCGAAAGCGAGGAGGAGCTGAGGAGCCTTCTAATCAAGGTGAAAGAAGAAAGCGCAAAAGCCGGGTTGCAGCTAAACGTCAAAAAACCAAGATTATGGCAACAAGAATGATTGACAACTGGAAAATAGAGGGAGAAACCGTGGAGGCCGTGACAGACTTTGTATTTCTAGGTGCAAAGATTACTGCAGATGCAGACTGTAGCCAGGAAATCAGAAGACGCTTACTTCTTGGGAGGAGAGCAATGTCCAGTCTCGATAAAATAGTAAAGAGTAGAGACATCAGACTGGCAACAAAGATCCGCCTAGTCAAAGCCATGGTATTCCCTGTAGTACCTACGGATGTGAGAGCTGGACCTTAGGGAAGGCTGAGCGAAGGAAGATCGATGCTTTTGAGTTGTGGTGTTGGAGGAAAGTTCTGAGAGTGCCTTGGACTGCGAGAAGATCCAACCAGTCCATCCTCCAGGAAATAAAGCCCGACTGCTCACTGGAGGGAAAGATACTAGAGACAAGTTGAAGTACTTTGGCCACATCATGAGGAGACAGGAAAGCCTAGAGAAGCCAATTATGCTGGGGAAAGTGGAAGGCAAAAGGAAGAGGGGCCGACCAAGGGCAAGATGGATGGATGGCATCCTTGAAGTGACTGGACTGACCTTGAGGGAGCTGGGGGTGGTAACGGCCGACAGGGAACTCTGGCGTGGGCTGGTCCATGAGGTCACGAAGAGTCGGAGACGACTGAACGAATGAACAACAACAACAACATTAAGTACAGATCACTAAACCAAATGAAAAACCCCCACAAGAACCTAATAATAATAATAATAATCATCATCATCATCATCATCATCATCATCATCATCATCATCATCTTTATTTATACCCCACCACCATCTCCCCAATGAAGACTCGGAGTGGCTTACATGAGGCCAAGGCCAAACAACAAATTACAAAAAAAAACCTGAATACGCAAACAAACGCAAACCTTAGCAATTTATGGAATGACATAATGTTTGGTGGAGAAATTGGATTGCTTGTTCTATCCAGAGCAGGCATTTTAACCAACTTTACAAAAGTTTTTATTATAAAAAGGGAGACGGAGCAATTAAAAAACCAAGGAGTATGACAAACATAGGAAGTCACCAATAAGTAAGGCACTATTTCCATAAAGTATGTCACACTTGTTCTTTACATCTTCTTTCTGTGTTCTAGTTGTTATGATATCAACAGAACACATCAGGATACTTTGGTAATTGTCAGAATGTTTTGTATTTGCTTAACCTAGCTTGAAATCTCTGCAACCTCCAACATTTTCTATGTCAAAGCAAATAGTTTTCTTCCACATGGCTCTATGTCACTTAGGCCTTAGAGCAGTGGTTCTCAATCTGTGGGTCCCCAGGTGATTTGGTCTACAGATCCCAGAAATGCCAGCCAGTTTACCAGCTTTTAGGATTTCTGGGAGTTGAAAACCAAAACATCTGGGGACCCGCAGGTTGAGCACCACTGTCTTAGAGTCACTTCTCTGATATTTCTCTTTGTGTTCCTTAAAACTTTTTTTTATGACTGTTGATGCTGGATATTTGCAGAACTTTGGAAATCTAAAGTAGTGATTCTGCAATGAAATATGAATGTCTGGAAACTGGCAATGTCCAGGACTACATTGTTTTGTTTTTAACATTGCTAGCCATTTTGAGTCTTTTTCAAGAGAGAAAAGGGTGAGATAGTGACAAGAATAAATGGGTTGCTGTGAGTTTTCCAGACTGTATGGTCATGCTCCAGAAGTATTTTCTCCTGACGTTTCACCCACATCTTTGTCTCAGCCTTTAAATATTTCAGAGTAAAGTTATAGCCCAGATTTTGTATGGTGCTGCTGTCTGGGGATGGGATGAGTCTCAGACAGCAAAACTGGAGGCTCTCCAGAACACATTTCTTAAGAAACTACTGAGACTCCCACCGGGCACCCCGGCAGCCTTGGTCCGGGCAGAGGTTGGTCTCCGCTCCATTAGATCACGTGTTCATTTTACCCTATTTAATTATTGGAGAAATGTAAAAGACTCCTCAGTTAGGATTCTTCCCAAGGGATGTTTTGAACAACTAGCAAAATGCAAAGTCTGGGACACTAGATACCAGAAGCTGCTGGAATTTCACCCCACTCTGTCTGATAAGCCTTCTATCTTGAACTCAAGGGAGAAACTCCAGGAATATTTTTTAAATAATTGTGCCCACCATGATAGGCAGGCCATTAATAACTCCAAATTCTCCCACTGGTTTAGACAGTACAAACTTGGCCATGATAGGGCTATCTACCTGATTAGGCTCACATTTCCAAAACTTAGACAAGCCTTCACTGCCCTTCGTTTTCAAAGTATGCCCACAGCAGTGATTGATGGCAGATATACGGGCACCCCTCTGGCTCTTCGTTTATGTGTTTGCGGGGCCCCGGAAATTGAGGATCTGCCTCACTATTTGCTTTTCTGCCCTTTGTATTCTGATCCAAGAACCAAAACACTCGGGTTTATTCTCCACCTCCTTCAGACCAACACTGTGTCCAAAAAGATTTTCTACCTCTTGGCTGACACTAACCCCGTGGTTACTCAAAAGGTGTCTCTTTTTGCCCTGGCAGCACAGAAAATCCAGGCAAAACTAATCTCTGATATTGTAGTTGACTGTGCTGGGGATGCTTTCAACTAATAGTGGCTGTTTATGTAGTTTTAATAATGCTGTATCTATTTGCTTTTACTTGGTTTTTAATTACGCAGGTATGTGTCTACTAGGCCTGTGCGGTTTCGTTCGTTAATTTTGTAATTCGTTAAACATTCGTTATTTTTTGCATTTACGAAACGATAACAAAACACTTTTTTAAACCCGGAAGGGTTTAAAAATAACGAGGCGGCATCCCCCATCCTTTTAACGAGTTTCCGCCCGTTTCGGAAATTGGATGGAGGATGCTGCTGGTGCCTGGGAGCCAATCCGGCGCTCCGGCGCCCCTTTCTCTTTGCCCCGCCCCTCCCCCGCGAGCGCGCTTTGCCTCCTTGCTTGCTTGCTTGGCTTGGCTTTCCCTTCCCGGCAGAAGGATGGCGAGCAGCGCAGCGACTGCTGGAGCCGCGGCTGCGGCGGCCGAGAAGGAGGCGAGCCAGCAGAGCAGCCTGGGCGCCTACTCGCCCGTGGATTACATGAGCATCACCAGCTTTCCCCGGCTGCCCGAGGAGGAGGAGGCGGCGGCGGCAGGAGGAGGAGGAGGAGGGGGCTCGGAGAGCTGCCTCCGCTCCCGCAAGGAGGAGGATGCCTTCCTCGGGGAGCAGGAGACCGGTGAGAGCGGGAAGGAGGGAAACACCCGCTTGCCTGCCTGCCTGCCTGCCTGCCTCCATCCTCCCTCCATCCACGCATCCACGCATCCATCCTCCTCCGAGCATCTTCTCCCTTGGATCATGCCCCCTTCTTCCATGGTGCAGGCTCCCCTGCAGCCAAGGCCACCCTCCTCCTTGCCTCCCTCCCTCCTTCTCCCCTTTCCCTCCTCCCTCCCATGTCAAGCATCCTCTGATCTTCACCAAGGACTCCCAAACTCCTCCTCCTCCTCCTCTTCCTCCTCCTCCTCTAAGGGCTTTGGAGTTCAACTCCCAGTGGGGACCCCCAAAGGTCATCCAGTCCATCCCCCTTGTTTAGAAGCAAGTTGAGGGAGCCCCCTTAACGAATCGACCCCGCGGCAATAACGTAAGCTTCGGAAATGTTTTGCGCATGCGCGCGGGGGTCCGCCATCTTAACGAATCGATTCATTAATATTTACGAAATTTTCGTAAATATTAACGGATTGTAGGGGGGAAATTTTGTAATTATTTTAAATATCGAAACAAAAAAAAAACCAATTACAAATCGATTTTAGAACCAAATTTTTTCTTGATCATCCAGCCCTAGTGTCTACACATTATGTAGTATTTTAAAGGTGCATCTTGCTATCGATATATGTAGCATTTTAATGATTTATAGGATCTTATTGTGTATGTTATATTGTATTTGATAATCTGGTGTTCATGTATTTATTTATTTGCCTTGACTTGTATGTGAAAGACCTATGGTCTAAGCATCAAATAAACAAACTTGGAAACAAACTAAAAGTTGAACTGCTCCAGAAGTATTCTCTCCTGACGTTTCACCCACATCTTTGGCAGATATCCTCAGAGGTTGTGAGGTCTGTTGGAAACTAGGCAAGTGGAGTTTATATATCTGTGGAATGTCCAGAGTAGGAGAAGGAACTCTTGTCTGTTTGAGGCATGTGTGAATGGTGCAATTGGCCAGCTTGATTAGCATTGAATGTCCTTTCAGTTTCAAACTTTGGCTGTCTCCTGCCTAGGGGAATCCTTTCTTGGGAGTTGTTAACTGGCTCTGATTCTTTATTTACTGTCCTAATTTTAGAGTTTATTAAAATACTGGCAGCCTGAATTTGTTCATTTCCATGTTTTTCTCCATTCCATTGAAATTGTCCACATGTTTGTGGATTTCAATGGCTTCCCTGTGTTAAAGTGATCTGGCATTTCTTTGTTCTGAAATAAAATACTGTGTCCAGGTTGGTTCATCAACTGCTCTGCTATGGCTGACCTCTCTGATTGAATTAGTCTGCAGTGACTTTCATGTTCCTTGATTCATGTTTGGGCAATACTGCATTTGGTGTCCCTATGTAGACTTGTCCACAGATGAATGGAATATGGCAGACTGCTGCAGAGGTGAGAGCATCCCTCTTTTCTTTTGCTGAATGTAGCATTTGTTGAACCGCCTTGAGTCGCCAACTAACCAAGTTGAGTTGCTCACTGGCTGTATACAAATACAGTAAATAAATGAATTTTCTTCGTAGGTCTGTAGATAGTTTGTAGGTTATGATTCTTCATCAGCTTTCCTATGCAGTCAGTGGTTTCTTTGATGTATTGTAAGAACACTTTTCATCTGGATGGATCTTTGTCTTTACTCTCATGGCCTGTTCTTGGTCTTGTACCACTTCCGATGTCCTTGGTGAAGTATCCATTGGCCTGTAGAGCCAAGTTTAAGTGGTTCAGTTCACCTTTGAGGAGATGGGATGTGCAGATTCTTTCTGCACTGTCTTCCAGGGCTTTGATTGTGCTTCTTTTTTGACCTGGGTGATTGTTGGTGTTTTTATGTAGGTATCTATCTGTGAGTATTGGTTTTCTGTAAACTGTGTGGCCCAATTGTTGATTGGAATAAGAATAATAAGAATAACAAACAGCAACTTCTACTACTATCACCAATACATAATGTGACTAAAGGAATATGCATGGGATCTCTGCTCCTTTGAGTCTCTAATAAGAGAGAAAAGAGCATAATAATAATAATAATAATAATAATAATAATAATAATAATAATAAACAGCAACAACTACTACTCCTACTGCCACCAATGGAAAATGTACCTAAAGGAATGTGCATGGAATGCCCATCCCTGTTCCCCTCTATTTCTCCCATTATTGTAGCATAGTTCAGAATATCCGATGCAAGAATAGTTAGATTCAACAGCTCAGAATTTTAAAATATCATTTATACTGTTGGATGAGAACTAAATAACACAACATGTTTTTCTCTTGTTCAGTAAAGTAGATCTCTATATTCCAAAATTTTCTCTGTCTACATCCTATGATGTCACAAGCTTCCTCCAGACAATGGGTGTGAAAAATGTCTTTGGTGGCAATGCTGATCTGTCTGGAATTGTTGAAGAAGGCGACCTGAAGGTTTCTAGAGTAAGTTCAGAGGTGTTAATACATCTATCCCATTTCTTGAAAATCCATTTAGCTATGAAACCGAATTACTTTTGAGGGATAAGTTCAATTTCAGCAATGAGCATCAAAACGCCTTCCAAAGAATGTATTTGTCTTCCTTTCTTATTAAACTTCTCTTACTTCATCTTCCTTTACCAGTGTGTCCTCCTTTCTCTGCACTGACCATGCAGGATTGTCACTGTATCCCCCACCCCTTGTCACTGCCACTGCTCCTTGCCAACTCTGTGTGAATGCCTAGCCATTCCCTTTCACAACATTTGATGTCTTAATAGGATGCCCATATGACCAACAATGAGGGGGCAATACTCACCATCTCTATTCCTGTTGATTGTATGAGCATCACATTCTGACATCAGCAAACATGATTGTGATGGCTAGGTGCTTACATGGTGCAATACAGGGATCAGTGCATGGAAAGGATTGATGACACAGTGTTCATACAGATAGGGCATTGAGGGGGCAAAATCCGACCTCCACAAAGTCCCAAGATGTATTTATTTTATTTTGAACACTTTTACCCCACCATTTTCAACCCCTAGGGGGACTCAAGGCGCCTTCCAATTGGCAACAATTGAATGCCGCATAATAAAATACAAAACAGCAATAATTATAATAGTTAAAAGCATAAAACATTAAGACATAAAGCATTAAAACAATATACTTATTCTAGAGTATCTCTAACCTAATGTCAGGCAACATCAGATTAAGGCAAGAAAATACAGGTTAATCACCAGACGTCCCCTGAATGGATTCAAGGGGAGTCTCGGTTTTCTTCCTAGTTTTAGGCATATGGTGACCTTTAGGGTCAGCATATGCCTACAACAACTTGAAGGCACACAACAACAATAGCAATAAGGTTCTGAGCTTCATTTACTATTTCCCTGTTAGTTTTACCATAATTACAGCTAAAGGCTCAGCTCAGTTGGGTGTTTATGTTCATTTAAAGGGAGGAGGCACAAACAGACTTTTCTCCATATCTCCATATCAATATTATCACAAAGATAATAATTCTGCTGTTCTTTCTTTCCAGGTTATCCATAAAGCGGTGGTGGACGTTCATGAGTCTGGTACTGAGGCAGCAGCTGTTACTGTGATAGAGATTCAGAACCTATCTCTTCGGATTCCTCCTCCACCTGTCTTCAAATGCAACAGACCTTTCCTGTTTCTCATTTTTGAAAAGATAACAAACAGCATCCTCTTCTTTGGGAAAGTCGTGAACCCAAAGGAAAAATGAATAACAAGCAAACAAACAAAATGCTAGTGTGGGAATTAAACTCCTGCAAATTGTGGTTTTTATTTTGGAAAGAATTGGATGAAATGCATAAGCATAGTAGCAGCCCCTTCTGAACTGATGGATCTTGACCAATGTCAGACCAATAGGTTATACAGATTGTGACAAATTGAAGACAAATATGTACAAGGATCAGGAACTTATAAAAACTAAAGAAAGGGCTCTGTGCCTGTGTATCTTTGTGTTTTATATAGTCCATTTCTTACACATACGGTTCTGGCCCAGATTACCTTTCAGAACGTATCTCCTGCTATGAACCATCACGAAGCTTAAGATCATCAGGAGAGGCCCTGCTCTCGATCCCACCACTCTCGCAAACATGGTTGGTGGGGACGAGAGACAGGGCCTTCTCGGCAGTGGCCCCCCATCTGTGGAACTCTCTCCCTAAGGATATCAGGCTAGCCACTTCCCTCCTGTCCTTCAGAAGGCAACTGAAGACCTGGCTCTGGGGCCAGGCATTTGATTAGAGGCCAGCTGCAATAGGAAAAGGAAATTTGGATTTTGCAGTATGGATTCTCCCGGCTCGACTTAGTTTTACTGGCACATTAATCTATTAATTTATTGTTAAATTTTACTGATGATGTTGTATAATGTTTTAAAATGATTTTATTGTGAATTGTAATTTTTATGGTATTTATGCTGTTAGCATCCTCTGATGCTCATGTGAGGCCGGGCTGAGTCCCCCTTGTGGGGAGAATTATATGAAATAATAATAATTTGTCCCTTACTCTTTCACATACATCAGTGGTTCACAACCTTCCTAATGCCGCCACCTCTTAATACAGTTCCTCATGTTGTGTTGACCCCCAACCATAAAATTATTTTCATTGCTACTTGAAAACTGCAACTTTGCAACTGTTATGAATCCTAATGTAAATATCTGATATGCAGGATGGATTTTCATTCAATGCACCAAATTTGGCACAAATACCAGACACACCCAAATTCAAATACTAGTGGGGTTGGGGGGATTGATTTTGTCATTTGGGAGTTGTAGTTCATGGGATTTCTAGTTCACCTACAATCAAAGAACATTCTGAACTTCACCAATGATGGAATCGAACCAAACTTGGCACACAAAACTGCCATGACCAACAGAAAATACTGGAAGGGTTTGGTGGGCATTGACCTTGAGTTTTGGAATTGTAGCTCACTTGCATCCAGACAGCATTGTGGACTCAAACAATGATGGATCTGGACCAAACTTGGCACAAATACTCAATATTAGGCCTGGGTAACAACGGAAAAATTTGTTTCTAAAATCGATTCGTTTTTTGGGGGTTTTTGTGTTTCGTTATTTAAAATAATTACAAAATTTTCCTTTAAAAAAGTTCGATATTTACGAAATTTCGTAAATGTGAAAAAAATTACAAAACAATAACGAATCATTTCCGAAACAATAACGAATCGATTCGTTAATGGCGGACGCGACCGCGCAATACGCTAAAAAACCTCCAAATGGGACAGGGGGAACTTCTGAAGCTTAATTAAACCAAAAACAACTATAAAAACCCTTAGAAAACCAAAAACAACTATAAAACTTGCCCCAGACATGCGGAAATAATAACAAAACGACCTCAAAACGATAACAAAACGAATACAATAACGAAATACAAAACATTTCGGAACGATTTAAAAAATCGTTTTTTAAAAAAATTGCTCCAGACTGGTTCGTTATCGTTTTGTAATTGAAAAATTAACGAATATTTTTACGAATTACGAATTAACGAAACGAAACCACCCAGCCCTACTCAATATGCCCAAATGTGAACACTGGTGGAGTTTGGGAAAAATAGACCTTGACTTTTGGGAATTGTAATTTCTGGGATTTCTAGTTCACCTACAACCAAAGAGTATTCTGAACCCCACCAACTTCCCACACAGAACCCCCATGACCAACAGAAAATACTGGAGAGATATGGGAGGAATTGACAGTGATTTGGGGGAGACCACACCTGCTCTCTCCTCCTCGCTTGGAGTCTCAGAAACAGCCCTCCCCTGGCCTGAGAGGCCAGCCAATCACAGCAGGAAGAGAACTTTTGGTGAGAAGATTTGCCGTCTGTTTTCAAAAACGAAGAGAATGATAGACAGAGAGATCTTCAGCCTTCTCTGCCAAAGAGGTTCCTAAGACCATCAAGAAATATGTGTTTTCTGATGGTCTTTGGTAACCCCTCTGAACCACCTCATGCCCCCCCCCCTGTGATCTCGACCCCCAGGTTGAGAAACACTGACATACATAAACACACACACAAATACAGAGAAAGAAGTAGGTTGATGTAGGTTAGTATTTACCTACTACTACCTAGTATTTATCTTTTTACCATTGTCATGCTATTGCTCTTTCTGTATTACATCAAATATATTTTCCACCTGCAAATCTTGAGTTCAAACACTCTTCTGATATATCCATAATCACTCAGTATGATCATATTCTTATAGTCCATTTTTAAAGAACTTTCCCTGATAGCTCCTGAAGGCCAGGTCTCTTAAGCTTCTCTTTCTAAAGTTTTTGTTCCCACTAGACCTTCTAGTCTTCTTTTATATCAATCTGTCTCTCTCAAACACTCTTTATATATACATACATAAACACATTCATATATGCACACACACACACACACACACATTTGTGTATATGTGTTTCTAGTTTTTTAAAAAAATAAATAAAGAGCATCAGGAGTAGTGGCTGAGAGATCTGGAAGTAAGCCAGCTGTTCTGGCCAGTCCATGGAAAAGCTTCTCCAACAGTGTACCTTCCCCAGAGCTGCTGCTGCTGGCCTTTGAGTTTTTCTCTCTGAAATCAGTTCTCCATTGTTCCTGGCAAACAGGGCTTCTTCCCATGTCCCCATTCTCTCTTTCCAGAAAATAGCAGAAAAAGATGGAGAACCTGGACTCCCTCTCTCTCATTCTCTTTCTGGAGATGGAGCAAGAAGGGGATGGGAGATAGAAGAAACCCTGTGTGGCATGAGTAATGAACAGCTGCTACCACTCCTGATGTATATGGTTTCCTCCCATCTCCCCATTCCCTCTCTCCAGAAAGAGAGTGAGACACTAGATACAGATCTAGAGTCTAGGTTCACATTCTTTGTCTCCCTACTCTGTCTCCCTACTCTCACTTGACTCCCTTCTCCCTTCTTTCTTCGATGTGTCCTCTCTCTACTCTGCATACCTGCCTCCCTCCCTCCCTCAAGCTCTCACTGCTCTCCTCCCACAATCCCTTCCAGGATGCGAATTGAGCCTACTCCAATGCGCTCTAGAATTTAAAGGCAAAAGGGCAGCCACTCTGCCTTTAATATTAATACAAAGTTGTCCTGTTACCGTATTCTTAATTGCAATGATATGAAATTCACAATAGAAGAATCTACGTAATCTATTATTCATAAGTAAAGAACATGGGAAATGAACAAATACATTTAGGCATGATTTACACAGGTATAACAAACATTATGTTCATGTTTGAGTACTTTCCAAAATAACTTGTTGGTTTTTCTATAGTCTCTCTAGTAATAATTTTAAATTAATACAGTACAGTCCCATGTAAGTTCCACATTGTGGTAGAAACCCTTTTTGATGCTAGTGGTGATCAGGAACATGATCAGCAATGACAAGGGTTCCCGGGTACTTTTATTCTTCTTTCAGGAAAAAATCCCTTCTTCAGGTTGCTTGCTTTATGTATTTTAGATAGTGTCTTCAAAGAATTTGTAGGCTAAATTTAGAGAGACAACATAATAGATATGGAACTGAGGCGGCAGCAGTTACCATGATACAGATGGTACGCATGTCTGCTCACAGACCTCCTCCAACACTCCAAATGCGACAGACCTTTCCTGTTTCTCATTTGTGATAAAATGACAAACAGTATTCTATTATTTGGAAAAGTCATGAACCCAACTGAAAAATGAAAATTCAGCAAGCAGCCAATCCTTCCAAGATACTCTCTCTCTCTAAATGTATGTTTCCATTAGACTATATTTCTGCTGAAAAATATCTTCGCTTCCACAGCTTCCAGCCCCCCCCCCCCAAAAAAACCCTCTTTATAGATGGGCATAACACAAACTTGAATCCAGTTAGGTAGCCCCTAAAGCGGGCACTGAATCCATTGCTGAATGGTTGAATCAACCTGTAGGCAAACTTAATTCATGCAAAGGTTCTCTTTTGTCAAGACTAACAATAGGATCTAGGCTACTGATTGCAAAAGCTTCACATAATAGCATATATGCACACACACACTCAAACATACACATACACACACATTATTCGGCCATTGGACCTTGGTGTTTATTTATTTATTATTTGCAGTATTTATATTCCAACCTTCTCACCCGCAGGGGACTCAGAGCAGATTACAATGTACATATACATGGCAAACATTCAATGCCATAGACACACAACATATATAGACAGACACACAAGGGCTATTTAACTTTCCAGTTTTTATGAGGGTATTCTGGCCACCAGGGGAGTTGTTGCTTCACCGTCCATTTGAGACACTGATGGAGTACTTCCTCATTCTTTGCTTCTTTGCTTACTGGGGATTTTTATGGCATCATAAATTAGTTAAATTAGCCTCCTCGCATAAGCGGTACCTAAATTTCCTACTTGACAGATGCAACTGTCTTTCGGGCTGCAAAGGTTGACAGCAAGCTACACAGAATGGTTGGAAGCTCACTTCGACTCGGGCTGGCTTTGAACTCATGACCTTTCGGTCAGTAGTGATCTTAATGCAGCTGACTCCCAGCCATCTGCGCCACAGTCCCGATGTGCAATTATTGTCTCATCTATAACACAGGTGCAGGGATTGTGTGGTCCTCTACATATTGTAGAACTGCAACTCCTAGCATTATCTGATACTAGCTGTATGAGCAAGAGCTGCTGGGAGTTGTAGTCTAACATCTGTGGAAAACTCTTGCCCATTTCTCCTCCTTTGTGGGGCCTCGCTGCTTCTTTGGTATATTACAAAGTGCTATACAAAGACTAGCATCTTGAAGAAGAAATTATGAAGAATGAACATGAGTCAATGATCTTGTTTCAGGTGCTTTGGGTGAAATATTGTTAGTCAGCTCTAATGGACATGCATACTTTGATATTAAAGATAAATCTTCCCCTTTGGCTGTAACACAGCTCAGAATACTTAACATTCTGTATTAAAATGAACCCTTCAGAAAAGTATAATCCAACCCACCCCTTCCTAAGGAGGTACATCTTCACTGACTCTTTCTTCCACACAAGAAATTGCAAATATTCAAAACGTTCCTTCTAACTCAAAGCAAATGAGAGATTTTGCAAAGCTTGTAATGATTTTTCACACATTTTTTTCATGTCAGGAGTGACTTGAGAAACTACAGTAGTCCTGCCAGCACAAGGGTTTAACCCTTTGCTCCACTGGGGGCTCTAAATTTTTTACCCACAAATACTTTGGAATTGATAGATTTCTCAGTTTCTGCATTTTTCAGTTCCTTTTCTTTTTCAGTATTATATTTCCTTTATCCTGAAATTTAAAAGTTTTAACAACCTTAATTTTGCACACAATATGAATAGAATAGCTTTATTTGTCATTATGCTGTTGCACAATGAAATTCCATGCTGTAAGGAAATTTAAAAGATATATATATCTGAGGCAGGGGGGAACAAAGAATCCCACCGCTGCCACCACTGTAAGGAAGATACTGACTGCCAATGCTATAAAGCTATTAACGACCGATGTTTCTGGTAGATATGTCTGCCACCACCTCAGCTTTATTGGTCTGAGGAACCAAAAGGTGTGAGTGTGTTGTAGGTAAAGTGTGTTTGCCCTTGGTTCTTCTATTGCTTCTTCACTGGCTGACTGGACTTTAAAAGTGCTTGACAGACTGAGGCTGACACCAGTTAAAAGTGAACTAGAAAAGGTTTATTAAACTTTAAACAAATATCTACTCATAGAATGAGCGGTACAGAAACTTGATTCAGTTGTAGAGGCTTAGTGTATTTAAATCAGGAGTTTCACCGACAATAAAGCTTTTAAAACTGAGTTTCCTTAAACACACTGCTCTACTCCTAGAAACAGTATCACTTAGAGAACAGACTCCTATCTGTCTCACACACAGGGCAATAAGCTCTCTTAAACTTCTCCTAAGTCTAAGAAGACAAGTCTTTCTGTTACTGATCCTCTCAATACAGTAACCCTAGCCCTTGTCTGCTACTTATTCCCTATCCTTAAGGCTCACTTTAAAGCTTTCTTTCCCTGTCAGACTCCTATGTAGCTTCCTCTCCTAAAAATCCCTTCCTTCTGTGTCTGATGTCAAGACACTTCTTCCCTTGTCAAGAGCTGACAGCCTCTTTCCCTCTCTCAACCGACTCCTCCCCTAATTGCTCTGACCAATCAGGAGTCGGCTTGACTCCTCCTCCTGCCTGTCTCCCAAGATGACAGCTACTGATACTCAGGCTTCAGCCTGGTCGCCTAAAAGGTAGATTTCACTACACATGCCTTCCCCCACAAACACCACTAAACAACACATCAATTTCTCCACACCCTCATGTGCTATTGCCTCCAATATATACATTACTGAGTGGACTTTCCTTGAATATATTTATTAGTTTGTGGCTATCAACTTTACACTCAGAAACGTGCAAATTCCAAACAACAATGCATTAATTTCTTCAAAAATGCTAGATCCAAAAGGGAACTGATGGACTTTGACCAACATCTGACCAATATGTTTTGCAAATTGAAGACAAACATGTATAGGGATTGGGAACTTATAAAGAAAATAAAAATTGAAAACAACACTTTGTCTGTATTTCTCAGTGTTTTATATATAGACTACTGCTTACAAACATGTACATTTTGTCCCATACACGCACATATACATACAAACACAGATGCAGAGAAAGAAGGGGGTCAATATTACATCCTAAGGTGTAATATGAACTTCTAATGTACTATCAAAGGTAATAAACCTATAGAGTTCAACATCAGGGAAAGGCCGCATAAAGTTCTGACTAAAACCAGGAAAGGGTGCACTATCCCATTGACACAGAAGTCACTAGAAATCAGTATGTGTATGCATTTCTAGAAAACATCTCTCACATTCACAACAATTCTAAAATCCACCTTCCTTTCTATTTTCAACCCTGTTTTCCTATAAAGTAGGCCACATTTATTTACTTCATTTTTATTCCGCTCTTCTCACCCCTCAGGGAACTCAGAGCAGTGTACAATATACATCTAAGCAAAAATTCAATGCCTCATTATACAAATCATATAAAACATAACAAAAAATCACTAGAACCAATAAGCATATAAATAACATTTAAAACCATTAAACATATTAAACCATAATAACCCCATACACAAATAAAACATTGGACCAATCCTTTAAGCACCCTACAAGGGCCTCCTCCTTCTCCTCTCATGATCTTAAGGCAGTGCCTCCCAATTCATGGGATTTCTGGGAGCTGCAGGCCAAAACACCCAAGGATCCACAGGCTGAGAACCAATGACCCAAAGTCTTCTTAGCTGTTTTGGATGGTGCTGTTTGACTGGTCCTCCACTAGCATCCTCCTTTTATGGCCCAGCCTCAGGAGGCAGCAGGTGTTTCTGCTGGGCCTTGCCTCAGCCAGGCAGTCAGGGCCCAAGTCTGCAAGGAGTCAATCACCAGGGGCTGAGGTCAAAGGCAGCCTGCAATGGACAAACACTGGCTTCTCATCCAAGCTCCCAGCTGCCAATGTTCTTTGGCTGTCTTGGATGGTGCTGTATGACTGGTCCTCCACTAGCATCCTCCTTTTATGGCCCAGCCTCAGGAGGCAGCAGGTATTTCACATGATGGCTTACAAATTAAAAAACAACACATTCTGTATTCACTAGAAACCAGTGTGCATACACTTCTGTAGAACATGTCTTATGCCGACAAGAGTTCTAGAATCTTTCTTCCTTTCTACCCTCAAACCTGTTTTCCTGATAAGGAAGAGCACAAGATGACTTACAAATCAAAATACAATGCAGTTTGCCTTCTGGATCCATAGATTCCTTACTCAAAGAGTTAAATATCAATGGTTTGAAAATGTATTTTTTTTAAATCTGAAATAGAAACCTTTATTTTTTTTACTTTTTATAAAGGGACAACATTTTATTATGCCATGGCATAGAATGGATCTTGTGCATCCATGAATTATAACACTGGAGGACAAAAGATATGCCAATTGTACAATCTCTCTGTGAATAAGATTTCCTCAAAGAGCACAGGATCAAACATTTAGCTGGAACTTAAAGTGTTCTGTTCCTAGGAGAGCCCCCGTTTTGGAAAACGGTATACTTGCCAATGTGTACAAAAAAAGAGCAACATGTCTATTGCATCATGGTTTACCTTTTGTTCATCATGTGTTATTCATATTTGATCTGATTAATGGTTAATAGGAAGGATTATAATGATTCATGGGGAGTATTATGTAAAGCTGTTGTGTAAGGGACAATGCAAGCATTGGCATTTCCCTCTTTGGACCGGTAAGAATTTGCTGAAACACTGTAAGTATAATACATATTTTCTCTATCATATACTTTATGAGATAACTGTGTATAGTGGCCAGGTTTCTGGATTGGGAAATGTCTCATAAAGTTTCCAACAATGACATTTCTCCCCTTCACTCACAACAAAAAAAGCAATATTATCTGCTGGAGAGAGAGGTCAGGAATGGAGAATCCGCCTATGCCTCTAAAACTGGATTCCTAGTTACTGGCATTCTCCATAAGCTCCTAGGCATCCTCTAGAAGTCCTGCAGAATGACATTATTGCTTTGCATTCAGCAATTGGAAGATACATGAATGCTGTTCAAATGACAAGAAAGGAGATTCCATCTGAACATTAGGAAAAACTTCCTGACTGTGAGAGCTATTGAGCAGTGGAACTCTAAGCCCCAGAATATGGTAGACTCCTTCTTTGGAAGCTTTTAAGCAGAGCCTGGATGGCCGTCGGGGGTGATTTGAATGCAATTTTCTTGCTTGTTGGCAGAGGGTTGGACTGGATGGCCATGAGGTCTCTTCCAACTCTATGATTCTATGATTCTCCGCCACTGCTCTTTACGAGCTAGCAAATGGACATTTCAAAGAGAGTGCAGCAGCTAAAAGCTGGTCTTTGAGAGAAAGTAAAGTTTGGAGCTGCCCAAACAGCAGCATCTTCGTGGGGTGCAGACCCTTTTTCCCCTGCCTCCCTCACTACCCAGACTCTTCTTCTCACCCAGACCCCCACCCATAGCTTTCTTTGCTTCCAAAAGTAAAGTCTTTCTGTATACATTTCAGATTTTAATATTAATGTCAAAAATGCATACTATGATTTTACATAGGATTTGTGCTACATTAGAACAGGAAAGACAAATATCACTTAAGTAAAATAAACATTAAATATTAAATAACCAGAAAAATAAAATAAGTTGTAAACACTAAACTAATCTGGGAATCTACTATTGCAACACATCCAATGAAGTGGTTTAAAACCAGTATAAAAAAAAGATTAGAACTAAGTACATTCCAGTCTACTTGGAATACAAGAGGTGCTTTGATTGTGCTTTTCCATCATGCCAGAATGAGGTTGGACTGGATGGCTCCATGGGTTGCTCTTCTTCTTCTTCTTCTAATTATTATTATTATTATTATTATTATTATTATTATTATTATTATTACAATATCTGGATGGCTATCTGTTGGGGTGCTTTGATTGTGCTTTTACTGAATGGCAGAAGAGAATTGGACTGGATGGCCACAGGGATTTTCCACTGAAATACTGTTAAGTTTATATTGGTTAACTTTCCTTCATTTTAAATATAGTGTTATTCTTTCTTTCTTTTTGCATTACAAATGAGATATATTTAGGGTACATAGGTATTTGTGCAATTTTTTCAATCAGTTAACACAAACACTCTCCATCCATCTGCCACTGACCCGGTCCGTTTGTCAAATTTTACAACGCAATGTGGCTCCTGTGTCTAAAAGTTTACCCATTCCTGATATATATATATACACACACACACACACACACACACACATTTCTGATATAAACTATGATATAGTTTCTCTTGGGGCTCCTAGATAAACTATTGCTTCAAAAAAAGCTCTGAGGCTGAAAATATTTGAGAACCCCTTCTCCCAACCTCTATCCACCACACTTCAAACATCTCATTACACAAGAGTTACACTCCTAAACTAAAGCAACGAGGCTGTAAAGAAGCTGGTTGGCTAACATTCAATTACCTGGAAATAAATGTCTTTGAATTACATTTCTGAGTGGTTCCATATCAGGCAATATTAATAACCCACTTTTGTCTTCTATGAGATTCTATCTATCTATCTATCTATCTATCTATCTATCTATCTATCTATTGTAGCTGAACAATTTCCAGGAATAATGAAGCCCATCATCTACCTCTTCTTCCTGATTGGTCTTCATGTCCATTGCCATCATCTCCCAGGACATCACAATGATCAGGAGACAGATGAAAATCCAGCAGAACATCAACATCCACCCTTGGAGGAAGAGCAAGGCAATAATATTGCAAAGTGCCATAAGATCGCCCCTAGCAATACTGACTTTGCATTCAGATTATATAGGCTAATCGCTTCTGATGGGGCTGGAAGAAATGTGTTTTTTTCTCCGGTGAGCATGTCCACTGCCATGGCGATGCTCAGCCTTGGTGCTAAATCAGAGACCCTGTCTCAGATTCATAAAGGACTTGCTTTTAACTTGTTAGAGATTGAAGAGAAGGAGATACACGAAGGCTTCCACCATCTCATCCATATACTTAACCGGCCAAACAACAAAGCAGTGGTCAACATAGGGAATGCCTTGTTCATAGAAGAATCCTTAAAACTTCTGCCTAAGTTTTTAGAGGATGCCAAAACCCTCTACGAATCTGAAGCCTTCTCTTCCAACTTTCAGAACACTGCAATTGCTGAAAAACAGATAAATGATTATGTAAAGAACAAGACCCATGGGAAAATATCCCAAGCAGTTGATGATCTGAATCCAAGTACTGTAATGGTTCTGCTTAACTACATCTTCTTTAAAGGTAAATCACAGATTAAAAACTAAGAAAAATATAAAACAATAATTAATAAAAAAAATTATTAACTAAGACATAAAAGATTGACAATGTTAAGTCAGCCGAACATTTTGTGGATAACTTACACTTCCAAAATGAGAACCTTATCTTTACAAAAGATAAACATCAGGAGTCTAAACTGACCACAAGTTTTGATTTGGTTTTAGCTAGAATTCATTGGGAGGTTCCCTGCATTACCTTGGGTCCAAATCAGAATTTGGATTCGGAAATTAAATCTTCAGGACTCTATTACCTTACTTTGGGAACCAAATGGGTATATTATTGTGGTTCTTAGTAACAGAACTAGGTGGAAGTAGTAGATAAAGAAAACACCAACTAATTTCCAAAGTCCATTTACTTTAGATCCCATTTTAAGGATAAATAATATGTATTATTTTTATTGCACTCAAAGAATTCCATATGTCACATCTATATATTGGAATACTAGCCTTCATAGAACATTCTGAAAACAAGAACCTTTGTCTTTTCTTTGCATCCTAAGGATTCTGGGAACGCCCTTTCAACACTCTATCAATCATGGAAGAAGATTTTTTTGTAAATGCCAGCACAACTGTGAAAGTCAATCTGATGTACAAAGGGTCCTATTACAAATATCTCCATGATGATGACCTGTTTTGCTCAGTGGTGGAAATCCCATACAAAGGAGATGCTTCAGCGCTCTTCATTCTTCCAGATGAAGGGAAAATGCAGCAAGTGGAGGATAGATTGGGAAAAGGACATCTGTCCAAATGGGCAAAGACCTTGGAATACCAGTAAGCCTTATCTGTATGCTGTACTGAGTTGCTGTTGCTGTGTTATTAATTCTCATAGCATTAAATAATGTTCTGGACCTGTTGTCCTTCCATTGTTGTTGGACTCCAAATCCCATCAGTCCCATTCAGCATCCTTAGTGAGCCTGGAACCCGTAGCCCAGCAAATTGCGAATGGTGGCAAATGTTCCAAGCACTTGTATGGAAACTGATTCAAACAACATTTTAAGGGAAATATTTGACTTTCAGATTAAATAGTGGAATAAGATAGCAGCTTAACCTTAGCCATTTATTTAATGACATAATGATGTTTGGTGGAGAAATTGGATTGCTTGTTCTATCCAGAACAGGCTATTTAACCAACTTTACAAAAGTTTTTATTACAAAAAGGGAGAAGGAACAATTAAAAAAACCAAAGAATATGACAAACATGTGAAGTCACCAATAAGGAGCAGGCACTATTTCCATAATGTATGTCACACTTGTTCTTTACATCTTTTATCTGTGTTCTAGTTGTTATCAACAGAACACGTCAGGATACTTTGGTAATTGTCAGAATGTTTTGTATTTGCTTAACCTAGCTTGAAATCTCTGCAACTTCCAACATTTTCTCTGTCAAAGCAAATAGTTTTCTTCCACATGGCTCTATGTCACTTAGGCCTTAGAGCAGTGGTTCTCAACCTGTGGGTCCCAAGGTGATTTGGTCTACAGGTCCCAGAAATCCCAGCCAGTTTACCAGTTTTTAGGATTCCTGGGTGTTGAAGGCCAAAACATCTGGGGACTCACAGGTTGAGCACCACTGCCTTTGAATCACTTCTCTGATAGTTCTTTTTGTGTTCCTTAAAACATTTCTCTGACTGTTGATGCTGAATATTTGCAGAATATTTGGAATTATAAAGTAGTGGTTCTGCAAATATTTACTGTCCTGATTTTAGAGTTTTTTAATATACTGGCAGCCAGAATTTGTTCATTTCCATGTTTTTCTCTTTTCCATTGAAATTGTCCACATGTTTGTGGATTTCAATGGCTTCCCTGTGTTAAAGTGATCTGGCATTTCTTTGTTCTCAAATAATATGCTGTGTCCAGGCTGGTTCATCAGGTGCTCTGCTATCGCTGACTTCTCTGATTGAATTAGTCTGCAGTGATTTTCATGTTCCTTGATTCGTTTGGTGGTCCCTATGTAGACTTGTCCGCAGATGAATAGTATATGGCAGACTGCTGCAAAGTTGAGAGGATCCCTCTTATCTTTTGCTGAATTTAGCATTTGTTGAATCTCCTTGAGTCGCCAGCTAACCACATTGAGTCGCCCACTGGCTGAGAAAGGTGGTGTACAAATATAATAAATAAATAAATTTTCTTGGTAGGTCTGTAGATAGTTTATTGGTTATGATTCTTCATCAGCTTTCCTTTGCTGTCAGTAGTTCCTTTGATGTATGATAAGAACACTTTTCTTCTGGGTGGATCTTTGTCTTTACTCGCAAGGCTTGTTCTTGGTCTTGTAGCTCTTCTGATGTCTGTGGTGGAGTATCCATTGGCCTGTAGAGCCCAGTTTAGGTGGTTCAGTTCACCTTTGAGGAAATAGGGTTTGCAGATTCTTTTTGCACTGTCTTCCAGGGCTTTGATTGTGCTTCTTTTTTGACCTGGATGATTGTTGGTGTTTTTATGTAGGTATCTATCTGTGTGTAAACTGTGTGGCTCAATTGTTGATTGGAATAAGAATAATAAGAATAACAAACAATAACTACTACTACTATAACCAATGCATAATGTGCCTAAAGGAATATGCTTGGGATCCCCGGCCTTTTGAGTCTCTTTTAAGAGAAAAAAGAGCAGGATAATAATAATAATACTAATAATGAACAGCAACAATTACTACCACCACTAATAGATAATGTATCTAAAGGAATGTACATGGAATCCCCATCCTTGCTCCCCTCTATTTCTCCCATTATTACAGCATAGTTCAGAATATCAGCTGTAAGACTAGTTAGATTCAACAGTTCAGAAATTGCAAATATCATTTACACTATTGGATGAGAACTAACTAACACAACATGTTTTTCTCTTGATCAGAGAAATAGAGCTGTATATTCCAAAATTTTCAATGTCTACATCCTATGATGTCACAAGCTTCCTCCAGACAATGGGTGTGAAAAATGTCTTTGGTGGCAATGCTGATCTGTCTGGAATTGTTGAAGAAGGCAACCTGGAGGTTTCTAGAGTAAGTTCAGAAGTGTTAATATGTCCATCCCATTTCTTGAAAATCCATTTAGCTATGAAACTGAGTTACCTTTTGAGGGATAAGCCCAATTTCAGCAATGAGCATCAAAATGCCTTCCAAAGAATGTGTTTTCTTCCTTTCTTATTAAACTTCTCTTACTTCATCTTCCTTTGCCAGTGTGTCCTATTTCTCTGCACTAACCATGCAGGATTGTCACCCCGCCCCCATCCTTTGTCACTGCCACTGTTCCTTGCCAGCTCTGTGTGAATGCCTAGTCATCCCCTTTCACTACTTTTCATGTTCTAATAGGATGCCCATGTGAACAACAATGAGGGGGCAATACTGACCATCCTTATTCCTGTTGATTGTATGAGCACCACATTCTGACATCAGCAAACATTATTGTGATGGCTTACATCAGGGGTCCTCAAACTATGGCCCACGGGCCAGACCCGGCCTCCCGGGGGCATTTATCTGGCCCACTGGATGCACTGGGCCACCGCGCCCTGAAGGGCTGCCCCTCAGTCTGGGGTGGCTGAACCAATAAACATTTGCTGAACCAATAAGCATTTGTTTAGGGCGCTGACCCCAAGGGTGCTCTTGAGGCAAGAGGAACAACTCTATATGCCCTTCCAACATCAGCAGAAAGTTCTTTCTGCAGCCTTCAGCCTTGCTGGGCCCGGCCCAGGGCGGGCAGGAGGCGCTTTTCAAGGTGGACCTCGCTCGTCCTGCGCAGCCGCAGGACACCTTCCAGGCAGTGTCACGTGAAAGGAGTTTGTTAATTAAAGGTGCCTTTCACGTGACCCGTTTGCATGCCCACCTGCCAAACAGGTGGGAAGGCGCACCATGGTCATGGCAGAAAAAAGAAGGGACTGGCACTGTTGAAACATAATGAAGCCTGGCGCCCTGCTAAAGCGCGCACACACACACACACAGAGAGCTTCCTTCTCTGCATTTATCTCTCTCACACACACACACACACACACACCAAAATGAGCCACTAACTTCCCAACCAACGCATCTCCCAAATCTTGGAACTAAACTGCTCAGCAGGAACTATGATCAGGAGAGAGGGAAAGTGTTCCAAACCCTCCTCCAGCCCCCTCTCCACCTCCCCTGACTTGGTACTGAATGGCTTCTGATCCCTTCCAAGGAAAAGTGAGTAAGATCTCATCCTCAGCCCAATGACCCTGTCTCAAACTTCTCCTTCCAGCCTTTCCATCCGGCGTGCTTTTCTCCCACTCTTCCCCGGCTTTAAAAAGGGGAAGAGAGGGAGAAAAAAGGGAAGAAGTCATTCAAACACCCCTTTGTATGCGCTTTAAAGCTTCTCTTTCCGTGTATTGGGGAAAGAGAGAGACGGGGAGGAAGGAGTCAGGGACATGCAAATAATAAGCAAAGGAGACAAAAAAGAAACATGAAAAACATGTAAAAGGAAGGAATTTCTTCCCTCTCCTCTTTCGTTCTATCCCTTTCTTTTGTTTTCCACTCTTTCTCCCCCTCCTTCTTTCTCCCTTCCTTCTCTCTTTCGCCCTCTATTTCTCTCTCCCTTTCTCCTCCTCTCCTTTTTATATCCCTTTTCTCCCTCCTCCTTTCCCTCCCTCCCTCCTTCTTTCTCTGTGGAGGTGGTACTTCCACCTCCACAGAGGCAGCTTTCAGGAAGAAGGAGAGGAGGGAGGAGGAGGAGAGGAAGGTCGGTGGGCAGCCAAGAGGAGGAAGGCTGCTGCTGCTTCTCCAACAGTGCTGCTTCTGCTGCTCCTGGTGGCTAGTGGGCAGGCGGGACCCACTGTCCTCCTCTTCCTCTCCTTCCTCCTCTTCCAAAGCAGCAGTGATGGGGGAAGCAGCAAGAGCAACACGTTCAGCCTGCAAAGGCTGAACGGCCACCTGACAGAGTGCCTTGATTGTGCTTTTTCCTTATGGCAGGAGGTTGGATATACATCCTGAATATCCGAGATTTACATGACGGGGAAAAATTATAACAGTAGAAAAATTACAGTTATAAAGAAGCAACAAAAATAATGTTATGGTTGGGGTTCACCACAACATGAGGAACTGTATTAAGGGATTGTGGCATTAGGAAGGTTGAGAACCACTGTGCTACTAGGTGTTAGGAATTGTGGGAGTTGAAGTCCAAAACACAAGGAGTGTCCAAGCTGGCCTATGCCTGCTTTAAAGAATAGCAATGATATTTAATTCTATTGTAATGTTTCACATATTTATAGATTTGAAATTGTATTGAAATGTAAGCCGCTTTGGCCCCTTCCACACAGCTGTATAAAATCCACACTTAACAGGCTTATATGGCAGTGTGGACTCTGATAATGCAGTTCAAAACAGATTTTGTGGATTATCTGCCTTGATATTCTGGGTTACATGGCTGTTTGGAAGGGCCTTTTCAGAGCCCTATATCCCAGGATCTGATCCTAGATTTTCTGTTTATCCCAGATTATCTGGCAGTGCAGACTCATATAATCCAGTTTAAAGCAGAAAACCTTGGATCGGTTCCTAGGATATAGGGCCTTTCTGGAAGGGCCCAGTCTCCTTGGGAAGACAAAAAGTGGTATATAAATAAACATAATAATATTGTAGAACATAAATCTGTTCCTGGTTTGAAATGGTTATTTCCTGTTTAATTGTGCGGCTCTTACTTTGAAAGTAGTAGTTCTCCTCCAGAAACTTTGTGTGGCTGCCACAAACTATGATGACAAGAGGTCATGGGAATTCAGCCGATAGGCTGATCAGTAAACATATTAATGGGTTCCTTGCTGTTATAGTAAGCCTGTTACCTATGCTACGACATGCTTGAAGTCAAAATTTCATTTATTTGTAATTAGAAATAAATGTTTCACAATATGTAAAATAAATGTTTCACAATATTCCCATGTAAACTATAGTCCAGCCCTCCAACAGTCTGAGAGACAGTGAACTGCCCCCCTGTTCAAAACGTTTGAGGACCCCTGGCTTACATGGTGCAATACAGGGATCAGTGCATGGAAAGGATTGGTGGCACTGTGTTCATACAGATAGGGCATTGAGGGGGCAAAATCTGACCTCCACAAAGTCCTAGGATACTCCAAACTCTGGAGTATCCCTAACCTAATGCCAGGCAACATCAGATTAAGACAAGAAAACACAGGATAATCACCAAATGTCCCCCTGAATGGATTCAAGGGGAGTCTGGATTTCATTCCTAGTTCTAGGCATATGATGACCTTTAAGGTCACCATATGCCTAAAACAACTTGAAGTCACACAACAACAATAGCTAAAGGGTTCCAGGCTTCATTTACTATTTCCCTGTTAGTTTTGCCATAATTACAGCTAAAGGCTCAGCTCAGTTGGGTGTTTATGTTCATTTAAAGGGGGGGGGGCATAAACAGGCTTTTCTCCACATCTCCATATCCATATTATCATGAAGACAATAATTCTGCTGTTCTTTCTTTCCAGGTTATCCATAAAGCGGTGGTGGATGTTCATGAGAATGGTACTGAGGCAGCAGCTGTTACTGTGATAGAGATTCAGTACATGTCTTTTCAGATTCGTCCTCCTCTACCTGTCTTCAAATGCAACAGACCTTTCCTGTTTCTCATTTTTGAAAAGATAACAAACAGCATCCTCTTCTTTGGGAAAGTCATGAACCCAAACGAAAAATGAATACCAAGCAAACAGACAACCTTTCCGAAATATTCTCCCACTGAATGTATATATGCCTTCCATTAGAATGTGTTTCTGCTGAAAACATCTTAGTTCTCACAGTGCCATGATACATGAGCAAGATAATCGTTTGTGTTTGGGTTTAATTAGGTAGTCCCAACCATAGCAAACCAGCTGAAGCAATAGGTGAATGGCTAGTCAACATACAGGTAGACTCAATTGATTTTGCCTAAATAACATTTTTGCATAAAGTCTTAAATTTCATGTATCCTGAAATTTGAAAGTTTTAATAATCTTAATTCTAAATGTAATTTTGTCTAAACTACAATTTTTCATGCATACACCCAAAAGAGTGCCATTTTAGACATTATTGTCTCCAATATACACTTTACTGGTGTATAATCTCTATCATATTACTTTCCCTGAATATACTTTTAAAAATATTTAAAAAGTTATTAACTCTAGCAGTCAGAGAAGTATAAATTGCAGACAGTAGCTGAGTTCAAACTCTCCTGTCAATGAAATTCCTGTCAATGAAATCTTAAACCACTTCCACGCTGCAATATGATGTTCAAATGTACTATCCATTCATGCATTTCTTTTAAAATGCTAGTGTGGAAATTAAACTCCTTCAAATTGTGGTTTTTATTTTGGAAAGAATTGGATGAAATGCATAAGCATAGTAACAGCTCCTTCTGAACTGATGGATCTTGACCAATAGGTTATACAGATTGTGACAAATTGAAGACAAATATGTACAAGGATCAGGAACTTATAAAAACTGAAGAAAGAGCTCTGTGCCTGTGTATCTTTGTGTTTTATATAGTATGTTTCTTACACACATATACATTTGTCCCTTACTCTTTCTTACTTACTCATCAGTGGTTCTCAACCTTCCTAATGTCACAACCTCTTAATACAGTTCCTCATGTTGTGGTGACCCCCAACCATAAAATTATTTTTGTTGCTACTTGAAAACTGCAAGTTTGCAACTGTTATGAATTGTAATAAATATCTGATATGCAGGATGTATTTTCATTCACGTCACCAAATTTGGCATAAATACCAGATATGTCCAAATTTGAATACTAGTGGGGTTGGGGGAGGTACTGATTTTGTCATTTGGGAGTTGTAGTCGCTGGGATTTATAGTTCTCCTACAATCAAAGAACATTTGGAACTTTACCAATGATGGAATTGGCGCACAGAACTCCCATGACAAACAGAAAATACTGGAAGGGTTTGGTGGGCATTGGAATTGAGTTTTGGAATTGTAGTTTACCTGCATTCAGAGGGCATTGTGGATTCAAACAATGATGGATCTGGACCAAACTTGGCACAAATACTCAATATGCCCAAATGTGAACACAGGTGGAATTTGAGGAAAGTAGACCTTGACTTTTGGGAGTTGTAGTTGCTGTGATTTCTAGTTCACCTACAACCAAAGAGCATTCTGAACCCCACCAACGATAGAATTGGGCCAAACTTCCCACACAGAACTCCCATGTCCAACAGAAAATTCAGCCCCCCCCCCTCCCCCAATTCTCATGGTGGTCTGCGAAAAGGCCTTACTGGTACATTATTTAAACTGTTATGTTTTTCCATTTATTTATTTATTTATTTATTTATTATTTTATTTCATTTACTTATACCCCGCCCTTCTCACCCCGGGGGGGGACTCAGGGCGGCTTACAGTGGGGGCACAATTAGATGCCCAAAACAATTCACAAGCAATACAAATACAAACAATTCAACAATTAATTAAAAACATCAGTACATAATAAAATAATAAAAACAGTCTCATGCTCAGGGTTCAGAGTCCATATATCCATTCCATTCCATTTGTCCTTGTCTATCATCAGATCCTTCAGTTAGCTGTCAGAATGACCAAAGGCTTGATCCCAGATCCAGGTCTTCAGTTTTTTCCTAAATGCCAAAAGGGAAGATGACGATCTAATCTCCCCGGGGAGTGAGTTCCACAGGTGGGGGGCCACCACTGAGAAGGCCCTGCTCCTCGTCCCCGCCAGCCTCACTTGTGACAGTGGCGGGGTCGAGAGCAGGGCCTCCCCAGAAGATCTTAAGCTTCGAGGTGGGACATAGAGGGAGATCCGTTCAGACAAATACACTGGGCCGGAACGGTATAGGGTTTTGTAGGTCAAAACCAGCACTTTGAATTGTGCTCGGAATTGGATCGGCAGCCAGTGGAGCTGACGCAACAGGGGGGTTGTATGCTCCCTGTACGTCGCTCCGGTGAGCAATCTGGCTGCTTCTCGCTGGACTAGTTGTAGTTTCCGAGCAGTCTTCAAAGGCAACCCCACGTAGAGTGCGTTGCAGTAATCCAGCCGGGATGTGACAAGAGCGTGGACCACCGTGGCCAGATCTGGCTTCGCAAGGTACGGGCGCAGCTGGCGCACAAGTTTTAATTGTGCGAAAGCTCTCCCGGCCACCGCTGAACCTGGGTTCCAGGCTCAGCGATGAGTCCAGGATCACTCCCAAGCTGCGAACCTGCGTCTTCAGGGGGAGTGTAACCCCATCCAGCACAGGCTGTAACCCTATACCCTGTTCGGCCTTACGACTGACCAGTAGGACCTCTGTCTTGTCTGTATTCAATTTCAATTTGTTAGCTCTCATCCAGTCCGACACAGCAGCTAAACACCGGTTCAAGGTCTGGACAGCCTCCTTGGTGACAGGTGAGAAGGAGTGACAGATTTGGACATCATCTGCGTAGAGATAACATCTCATTCCGAAACTCCGAATGATCTCTCCCAACGGCTTCATGTAGATGTTAAATAACATCGGGGACAGAATTGAACCCTGTGGGACTCCACACAACAACGGTTGTGGGGTCGAACAGGTGTCACCCAGTAACACCTTCTGGGTCCGTCCCTCAAGGAAGGATCGGAGCCACTGCAAAGCAGTGCCCCCGAGCCCCATATCCATGAGGCGACCCAGAAGGATACCGTGATCGACGGTATCGAAAGCCGCTGAGAGGTCCAGCAGAACTAACAGGGACACACTCCCCCTGTCCAGTTCCCTGCGAAGATCATCTACCAAGGCGACCAAGGCTGTCTCAGTTCCATGTCCCGGCCTAAAGCCAGACTGTGCCGGATCCAGATAATCAGTGTCTACCAGAAACCCCTGGAGTTGTGTTGCCACCACACGTTCCATGACTTTGCCCAAGTAGGGGAGATTGGAAACTGGCCGATAGTTGTCAAATTGAGTGGGATCCAGTGATGATTTCTTCAACAGCGGTTTTATAATAGCTTGTTTTAAGCTCGCTGGAAATTTTCCTTCCTGTAAGGAGGCATTAACCATCACCTTCACCCACTCTGCCAAACCCCCTCTGGCTTCCTTATCAGCCAGGATGGGCAGGGGTCTAGGATGCATGTGGTGGGTCGCACCTCTCCAAGGATCCTGTCCACATCCTCAAGCTGAACCAATTGAAAAGAATCCAATAAAACTGACAAGCAGATGCTCTCGTTACATCCCCAGAGACTGCCGTTAACATGACGTCAAAACCCGACCGAATCCGCTCAATTTTATCCGCGAAGGATCGAGCAAATGCTTCACAGCGAGCCACCGAATTGTCCGAGGCCTCGCTTTTTGGCGGATTTAACAGGCCCCTGACAACTCGGAAAAGCTCCGCCGGACGATTCTTCGCTGATGCAATATTGGCTGTGATGAATATTTTCTGAGCTGCCGTTATTGCCACACCGTAGGACCTTAGAAAGGCATTCAGGTGTGTTTGGGCTGGATTGGTGGGGTTCTGGCGCCACACGCACTCTAACCTCCTCTTCTTTCGCTTCATCGCTGCCAGCTCCTCGGTGAACCAAGAGGCTGGTTTAGCTCGGTTACTCGAGAGGGGGCGTTCCGGAGCGATAGTGTCAATTGCCCTAGTCAACTCATTATTCCAACGAGAGACCAGAGTATCGACAGTATCACTAGCCAAGGAGGTGGAGAGATCCCCAAGAGCCGTCAGGAGTCCATTTGGATCCATAAGTCTCCTGGGGCGGACCATTCTAATGGGTCCCCCACCCCTGCGGAGGTTAGGAGGCCCAGTTAGTCTAAATCTGATCAGGTGGTGATCGGTCCATGGCAACGGAGCGATGGTCGGCTCCTCCATCCCGTCACCCTCATCCCATCCCTGGACAAAAACCAAATCTAAAGTGTGCCCGGCACTATGGGTGGGACCCGATATTAGTTGGGACAGGCCCATGGTTGCCATGGCGGCCATGAAGTCCTGAGCCGCACCAGAAAGAGGGGCCTCGGCATGGACGTTGAAATCTCCCAAGACCAGAAGCCATTGGAAGCTCAACGCCATGTCCGAGACCACTCCCACTAGCTCAGGTAGGGAGACTGTAGTGCAGCGGGGTGGTCGGTCATGATATCCATATCATGATCTGATCACCATGCTCAATATATCTAATATGCATGGGGGTATTGGGGTAACGATACAAATGTTTTGCTAGGGTAGACCCTCTCTCACTCAGACTCAGCCCCCCCCCCTCCAAATCAAAATCCTGGCTATGGGTCTAACTTGAGTATATATGGTAACACAATGTATAACACATTTCCAATCTTCCCTTTTAAAAAATTGAATAACACAGCTATATGTCTGAAAATAATAACTTGCAAAGGTGAATTCATTTATTACAGTAATTTATTTATTCCTTACCCCCAATTCCAGAATTCTCATAAAATTGAGAAGTTGAGAGAGTGGCTTTTTGTTGGTTCAGTTCACACCAACTTTGTACATGGCCATCAACAACATATCGGAGGGACTGATATTTCCTTTCTTGTAGGAAGGATTGCCTTAAAATCTCATGTATAGGGAAAGCGGCGCCATCTTGTGGGGAAAGTACAAATATGCATTTACATGAGACATCTTTATATAATGGAACTATTGATAACAGACGTCTTTTTCAATATGTATTTTTGAAATGAAAATGGGAATAGGAGAGGCAGAGGAGGGAAAGAATGATGAATGGCTCTACTATAAGGCAGAATGAGGCAATTGTCTTGGTGTACCAATTTGGAGTGTTGTGATTCCAAATTGTTTTCCATTCAGAGGAGAAAGAGCAATATTTTGCTTTAGGACAGGGGTCCCTCAAACTTTTCAAACAGAGGGCCAGGTCACAGTCCCTCAAACCATTGGAGGGCTGGATTATAATTTGAAAAAAAAATGAATGACTTCCTATGCACACTGCACATATCTTATTTGCAGTGCAAACAACACTTTAAAACAATATAATAATTAAAATGAAGAACAATTTTAACAAATATAAACTTATTAGTATTCCAATGGGAAGTGTGGCTGGTGAGATAGGGTTGTTGTTGTTGTTGTTGTTGTTGTTGTTGTTGTTGTTGTGTGCTTTCAAGTCATTTCAGACTTAAGTTGACCCTGAGCGAGGGCCGGGTAAATGACCTTGGAGGGCCGTATCTGGCCCTTAGTTTGAGGACCCCTGCTTTAGGAGATGAATTGCTGTAACTATCTGAATCAAATACCACTATAACATGGTAGAGTGTGTTTTGATTTAGATAATGGGTATCATTTCTTCCTCTGCCTAACAAACTTCTTGCAAGGTAGAATTTTAATCTGGAATATCTGAATGCAAAGGGATTTTTAGCACATTAGAGACTCAGAGAAAGAGGTTGGTAGCATAGGCTTTTTAAAACTAAGGCTGCATGTACACTATAGAATTAATTCAATTTGATATCACTTTAATGGCCATGGTTCAGTGTTATGGAATCCTGGAATTTATAGTTTGGTGAGGCACCAGCACTCTTTGGTAG